TATCTCGTGTCGTTTTCGTATCGTTTCATCGTGTCGTGTCCGAAATTACCGGCCCTAATACTATATAATCTGATTTGGGCAAAATTAGCTGCAAAGTTTTATTAATGTCCATGAACGCCCCGCATATTGTAGAGAATAATGCTCCATTTTGGTTTTGACATGATATATTCTCAACATGTTTCTTTTTAAACGTAATGTTCTTAATATATATATATATATATATATATATATATATAAACACTAATTATGCACCATCATCTAACTTTTTGAAGATGCTATAGAATTTGTCTGTTTTTGTATTCATAGAAGTTATAAATACATTTTAAGCTGATACTTTCCGACTAGTCAATCAAAGAGGATAAGTTTCTTAGCATTTAGCAAAAATCAAAAGAGGATAAGTGGGGAAGCCAAAATTATATAGTGACTATATTATTAATTTAATTTTACACTTTAGAGAAACCCTCTAGAGTAAAAGTCACAACAATAATTAGATACTTGTTAAGTTTTCAGAATGTTATTTGACAATTTCCAACTCTGCAATCAATGGCTGCTAACCATGGTCCACGAAAAAAAAAAAAAAAAAAAAAAAAAAAAAAAAAAAAAAAAAAAAGTCATAAAACGAGTAAACTAATTATATAATGAAATGGGTTAAAACATCTAATCCGGATCGCGACTTCAATTAGAAGGGTTTTGGTTTCATATTTGTTCAGACACAAACATCGGGAATTTCTTTTAAGGCTTCTTCTTTTCTTTACATTGGGCTGCAAATAGAACGTTGAATCTTGAGAAAGTCAAGAAAACTTCACTTGCAAGAATACGTATGTGTACAGGGAGAAAGGAGAAAAATATGCTAGAAATATAAGAGGAAAGTGTTAAGTAAACTAGGGCGAAAAGATATAAGAGAATGCCAGCCATTGAGCAAACACAATCCAGATTTTGTTTGACCCAAAAAGAGGGATTTTCCAAAGCCATCATGGTCACTAGCGGTCAGCGCCACCACCACCCACCATTGCCCACTAGCTACCACTATTAGAGATTGTTGTCCCCTTTCCCAAATATTTGCCATCCACATTTTTGCCCTTACATTTTCATATTTTGACAATGTTTTTTTTGGTGTGATTTTACATATATATTGAAGTAGGAGGTTTTAGTTGCAGTAGTCGTTATTTTTAGATTGCCTTGTCTTCTATTAATTGAGCTTTTTTTTGTTTTTTTTTTTGTTTTCTTGTTTATTGTTATCTATCTAGTTTGTCGTATATTTTAAGGCTATACATTTTCACATCAGCCATCGCAATAGTTAGACTTAAACATTTGAGACATTGTTATCACAGTCTAGTTTTCTCTTTAATTTGTGGGTTTTTTCTCTTTTGAATTTTCTTTAAGTGAATTTGAGAACTCTGAAAGTCTGCATCAGATTCTATCATACTCATTTTGTTGCGTTATATATTTTCGTAATCTCGTTATTTCCTCTGCATTTTTTCCGAGTACTATTGCATTTCGGCATATATGGCCAATTTTGAACAAAGAAAAGATAATTGTAATGATTTTTGTCAATGACCGAGTCTCTTTGTTCCTTTTCAATAGTAAATCTTGGATTCGGTCAATATTTTCAATTTATTTTTGTTGTGTGTTGCTTGTGTTCCAACAATGTCATGTACCATTATCTTCATTTTTCCCAATTATGGACACTGTTGAAATTTGAGGCGATCAAATTCAATATTTGATACTCGATTTCCCACGTTTCGGTCAAATTCATTGGCTTATATATGGCGTATGCATTTGTCTACCGTATCAAAATATGATCCATTTTCAGAACACTATATTCAAACTTAACTGGGAACGGTTTAACTGCCGATCATGTTTCGACACCATGATTTTTGGTTTCAACAAACTGAAACAAATATATATATATATATATATATATATGGTATAAATATAAACAGCTATAGTGACCTCCATCAATACTTTATATTAGTTGATTCCCGAAATCCATTTTACACACCTAGTAAATAAATCTGCCATGTTCGCTTAACTCTTTTAAAGTTAAAAAATAAATTTATATGAGAAAAAATACTGTAAAAAAAATTAAATTTAATTCTTTACAAGAAAAATTCTGTAACAAAATCTTAAATTGTAATTTGAACTAATCTTAAATTATTTAGACGTTATTTTATTGTCACGTCTCTTATCAAATAAATAAATAAAGCGAAAGGGACAGATTTTTCAAGTATTTCATTGGGGTGAAAATTGAGGTAGGCTTGCTTTATAGACGGGCTACAGGCTTGGGCCTGAAGCTTAAAAGGGCATTATATATGAAGGGAGAAAGAGAAAAATATTTAATAAGTCTAAATTAATAAATAGGTTAAATTATTATTTTTATCTATAATTTATCTTAATATAAATCATAACTTGATAAATTATTGTTCATAAATCATAGTTTTTGTCCATATGAATCATAATTTGACAAGTTATGACCTATTAATTTCTATAACTAAAAATTAGCCTATATACTTCCTTAAGCTTTTCATATTGGTCTATTTTCTACTATTTCCGTTATATGAATTGTATGGAGCTCCTAATTTCTCGATAATTTTCTCTGATAATTTGGAAACCTATGAACTAATAATTCTACTCGGTATTGATTTTTTTTGTTTCACTGATTTAAATTTTTAATTTAAATTGAGATATAATTTTATATAAATTTTTTTATTATAATAAAAAATTAAATATAATTATTTTAAAAAAAATTTCAGTCCTTAATTTTTCTAAAACTGAGAACATATATGTCTTCTTTCCAAATGATTAGAAAGACGATGACTACTGCAAAGTGCAATAGTACATTCGAATTTAATGCTCAACATATAGACGAGTAGAAGCCCAACACTCTCAACTTGTAAAGCCCAAAAGAGAGATAAGAAGTTCAATAGACCTACCATGATCATTTCTACGAGCTATATCAAACACTTTCCCTCCCAAAAGAGAGAGGGGGAAAAGGAAAGAGAGAGAGAGAAAAAAAAAAAAAAAATCTTAGGCGATGAGCTTAGAACATTAGCAATCATGATTTTATTTGCATGCCTTTACTTTTTGTTTGGTTCTTTATCGTTATGTTTTTTTTTTTTTTTTTTTCAATGCTTTGGGCACCCAAGAGAAAAAAGAGGAACAAAAAGAAATTGTTTTGACTGTCCCTGTGAAACATTTCAAGTCACAAGGAAAACTACAAAATCACAAAACAATTATGCTAAGAAAACTCACTAGTGCCTAAATGTAAAGTGGTTAAAGGCTATCGGTGAGAGTATTCATTCACATTGGTTTATGTTAAGTATGGTAAGTTCTACAAATATATGAACATTTTAGTGTTATCCGACACCGCAATTCTCATAAATATGGATGCTAGCACTAGGCCATGTGACTTGGGGTTCCAAACACCACTAATGCTTAATAACAGTTATTGCTCTGACGTTTACTGTGAGATTCTACCTTAAATAATTATTAAGGATTAACATTCGTATCAAATTTTAAAGTAGCAATATTTGACGCTGTCACTCACAATAAACGAGTCTTCTACAGCTCACATTTGTTAGGTCCATTGTTCATGTTCATTGTGGTGAGTGTACTAGTGACCTTTTTTTATCATCTTTTTCCACACTTTCGACATTCACATGTCTTAAGTATCGTGAATCTATAGTAGGACCAAGGCTGATCAGATTGATGATGGAGAAAGATGGCGCTATCTTAACACTCCTCTTAAACTCAAAAGGAGCATCCGATCTGGGTAGACACACAGTAGATTCCCCCCCCCCGCCTTCTAAAAAGCCTCACTAGATCTGGCCGTACACTGTTCTTTGCCAGCCCAATCAGCATCCGCCCCGCATAGAAATGCGTGCATCACAGTTGAGTTCCCTACTGCACTTTCGATCGAAGCCGTTCGATTGTGGGCCCCAGATTTTTGCCTTCTGTCACCCACTTTGCTCACTAATTGCACACTACAGACACTTCCCAAGTCCTAACAGCAAATTTCAAACCATTTGAGATCTGAACCCAACCACATTAAAATCTATCCATGACTTGCCAGTACATTTGAGAAGGCAGGATTCTCTGATGACTGATCCACTGACTCAGCCCTCTATTTTCTTTTTCTATAATTTATTATTTAATGCATTAAAAAATACCTTTGAGGAGCTTATATTTGAACTTTATATTTTATGGTGGGGTATGTCATGTCTATAGACTATGCCTGTTGGAGTTTTGGAGTTGTATATATATATATATATATATATATATATATATATATATATATATATAGTTAAATTTGATGAAAATTACACCAAAATATAGAATATATATAAAATTAACAAATGTAATTGCTTAAAACAGACTAGGACCATAGAATTTTCCATTTTTATTTGTTAACTTCGAAAAATGGCTTGGCTGTTTATATAGTGATCAAGCGAGGGACTAGGGAGATTATTTGGTATCCACCATGTTCCCAATTTGCTATAAATAATTTACAATGAAACAAAATTCCTACAAAACGTCTTATTGTCCTTGTGCAACTCTTTGCCTCTTGCCAGCCAAACAATATAATCTAGAGGGAAAGAAAAATGACGAAAAAAGATATTATAGAGCGAAGAACTTGTGGTTCTTAAGAAGGCTCAGGCGGGATATTTCGCCATAAGAAAAGCTGTCTTTACAACTTTATACGACAAGAGGCAAGGAATTTGTATAATACCGACCCTTTTTCATATTCCCTAAATAGTAATAGCTGATATTTTCTAGATCATCTTAATTAAGATTTGTTAATCCCAAATCCGCTTTAATAGCTTAACTAGTTAACTTTCAGATGCTCCACTCCACAAACGAGAAATGAAATGCAAACTTGGAAATGTTAAACGCTATCTATTATCAGAAGTCTGCAAAAGCGTCTATATTGCAAGTAAATCAAAGGTAAAAAAGAAAACTCTTATTGGATTTGAAAGTGAGAAACCTTTCTTCTAGCTACATTCGGTACAACAGACTATATAGATAACCAAATCTCAATGCTTTACAGAGGGGGAAAAATTGTGGCCTCTAATATATATATATATATATATATAAATTATTGAAACATCGACACAAATTAACATCCAATTTTGAACTTTAAAAAAAAAAGAAAAGAAATGAAAAATTAGGCCATTTGTAGCCAAATTCAATTCACCGTGTAAAAAAAGAAGAGGAATCCAGAAAAAAAAAAAAAAATCTAATCACGAGGCAAAAAAAAAAAAAGAGAGAGAGAGATCTCATACCAGTAATAGATACAGTCCTATACAACACACCAGAGCAAGCCCCAAGCTTCCGAAGCCGTTTATGGCCGCTTCCGATAAACCCGGTGGAGACGAGAGGTGCGACGAAGGCCCGTCAAATCCCGGCGAATTCTCCGGCGAAAGAGAGATGTACGGCGGCTGAGCGCCACCGCTAACAAAAGGAGCTCCAGGCTTGGTCATCATTATCGGATTCTTCCCAAAGATCTCCCTCGGCAAAAGAACCTCAGAAACCCCGAAAATGGCGACGGGATTCTGATCGAACACCGTCTGCGTCACCGAGGCCTGGACGATCCCCGTGTCGATCCCCACCGATCCGTTAACCCTAGAAATGTTGAGCGTGAAGCTCCCGGCTCCCATGTCCTCCGTCGCCAATGTGGGCTGAACGGGATTCACAATCGACTGGAGAGAGCCCAGGGGATAATAGGAGTGAAGGACGTGGAATTTGAGCACCACGGCCTTCTTGTCGGCGGGGAGAGATTGGAGCCTGACGGTGGAGGGGAGGTCGGCAAAGGCGGTGTCGACGGGGACGAAGAGGGTGATCCCGGCGCCGCCCTCGTCGGCCTCGAACTCCTCGACGACGCCGGAGGCCGACAGCATCGAAGCCGCGACGTTGAAGTTGTGGCCGTCGATCAGCACCTTCGTGATGTTGAGCCCCAGCGGCGGCCGCGTCTCCGAAGCCATCAGATCGAAGCCGTACGGGACGAGGAGCGAATCGAGGGCGAAGACGCTCACATTGTACGGGAGCGTCTTGATGAGGCTGAGGACGGTGGCGTTGGAGGGGGAGTAGGGCGCCGGGGAGCGGACGGACACGGCGCCGGTGGAGGGGTCGCGCGTGATGTTCACGGAGCCGAAGTTGCTGGCTGCGCGGCCGGTGGTCTGGAGTAGGGTGGTGACGATCTTCCCGGAGGAGGGGATCCGGCGGAGGTCGTACTCGGAGAGGTATTCGAGGAGGATGTGATAGCGGAGGACGTCGGCGCGTGAGGAAGACGAGAGGCGGCGCGTGAGGTCGGAGGAGGGGGAGAGGTAGGGGTTGGGGACGGCGAGGAGGGTGAGGGAGGAGCGGCGGGAGAGTTCGGCGGCGAGGTTGGGGGCGGAGGAGAGGAGGAGTGCGGTGAAGTCGGAGAGGTCAGGGATGGTGGAGAGGAGGGCGGTGATGTTTAAGGCCAAAGTAGTGGGAATGGGGGAAGAAGAGAGGAGGAGGAAAAAACAGAGTAGGGACGTAGGGGCAAAATGGGAATTAGAAGAGATGTTGGCCATTTTTGTTCCTCTCTCTCTTCGCAGAGAGTGGAGGGAGAGAGAGAGAAGGGAGAGCGTGTGTGTCGGTCTTTCTTTCCTTCTTTCTGTTAGGATTTTAGTAAAGTATAGAGGAGAAAGGGAAAGTGGGTGATTGAGTGAGTGATTGAGTGAGTGGGAGCGAGTAGGGGAGTGAAAGGCAGTTTATGATGGATGGGGAATGATAGATGACGATGAAATGAAACTAGTGATGTGGGGTGGAGTGGAACACAATGGGGCAATCTTTTTGCGCGAGTTTTGTCGCCCCCACTTGCGGTGGATGCTTTAAACCGTTGTACTCGCTCTGGATGAATTCCACGTGTTAATAACTGTGCTAGTGTTGGGAGGGACTGGGGAGGAGGAGAAGGGAAAACAAGAACAACCATGGAGGTTGGCCAAAAGGCAAGAGATGAGGGAACATAACAGGTGTTAAGCGATCAACAAACTCAACAGTCAGAAAGTTCAACTGACTACTACTCGGCCAAAAAATAGTATACACACGACAACCAAAGTAAAATTGAACTAAACATTTGTGTAAACAAAAGGAGGAGAACAAAACTCAACCAAAACAGTACTCTTCTCTTTTTTTTTTTTTTTTTTTTTCATTCTTATCATTATTATATGTTCTTTGTTCACTCGTCACTTTGAATTCTTTTTAGTAATTATAGTAATAACCACAACCATGGTAGCGCATTCTCTTATTACTCGTAGTAATTCCCGAATTAACGAAATTCAAGTTTATAATCTTGATTCTAGGATATTTGTTATTCTTTCCATTTTTGTACCTTTCTAACAGTATATATTCATTAACAAAATAAATCTCTTAGTATTGCATTTTCAGATTTTTCTATCCTAATAGTCCTTTTCTTTTTTTTTTTTTTTTTTTTTTCCCTTTACCTTCCCTTATATGACCAAGAAAAAGTGAATTAAACGTAGCCCTTTATTTTTAGCCGTATTTATATTAAAAATTATATATTATATATACTTTTTTAATATAATATAATTACTAATAAGATGAAGATGCCTTATTAGGGAACTCTTTTTTTTTAGACTTCTATTGGCGGTGCACGTTTCACTATATAATTAAAGAGAAATAGTAAAAAATAGACCAATATAAAAAGTTTAAAAAAATATATAGATCAATTTTTAGTTATAAAAATTAATAGGTCATAACTTGTTAAATTTTGATTTATAATCAGATAAGTTATTAATAAATTTGTCAAGTTATGGTTTATAGCCAGACAAGTTATAGATAAAAATCGTGAATTATGGATAATAACTTGTCAAGTTATGATTCATAACCAGACAAGTTATAGACAAAAACAGTAATTTAGCCTATTTATTAACTTATGTAAACTATTGATCTATTAATTTTAATTTATCTCAAGTATTGACTTATTTTTCTCTTTCTCCCGTAATTAAATTACCAACATTTTTTTTTCTTTTTTCAATTTTTTTCCCTTTCATTTGGGATTGATGATGGGTTTTTCTTCGTGTGGGTCAATTATTTTCTTGGCAGCCCGTGTAATGGAAAAGGGTCATCACTTATCAGCTTTCGCATTTTAACTAAACCCAATTGGAATATGGCTGCTGGGCCAAGGATGTTTCTCAATCTTCTAAACTTGCTTGGTGCTTACTGCGGGGACCAAATATCTTTTGGGTGTAACGCTAAGGCTAAGGCCGTTCCCATGCCCATAAAAGAAAGTGGTATGATTGATTCAGGCATAAAACTGGACTTTCGTAATGGCTACTGAGAAGTGTTAAAAGACTACGGCCGTTTAGTTCGCTGATTTGAATTGAGATGTGACTTTATGTAATAATTTTTTACTATAGTAAAAAAATTAAATGTGACTGTTTTTTAAAACTTTTTACTATAACAAAACTCAAATCAATAAAATGAACGGGACACGCCATGATAATTTCCAAGTTACTTGTGAAATTACCTCTGTTGAAAAAGATGCTGATCTTATATACCCGAGTGAATTATGTTGCTTTCTGGCTCTTTTTTTCTGCATAATACAAATGAATATCACCCAGATGAAGTGAAAGGCTTGAGGGTGAATAATTAATGGAGCTACTCAAAAACACAATTTGCCAAATAATTCCAAAAAATGTCCCAACATGACATGGAGTTAAAAAAATTAAAAAAAAAAAGTGCAAGTTGTGAAATTGGCTAGGAATAAAGTGGGGTTGGTTAGCAAAAATATATATACACGCACAGAGGTGTGGGAAGGCTGGAACTTCAATTTGGGGCCCTTGTGTAAAAAAATAAAAAAAAAATGAAAAAAAAGACATTGGGGCCACAAGGATTTCAGTTTCTCTTTGATCCTTTCATGGGCTAACATCTCACTAATTTCTTTTTGGGCTGGAAACAACTCATTTACATTTTTTTTTATCATTAATAAGTATTTGAGATCCTAATCATATGTGCCTTGCCTCGCTCTTTACTGCGTTCTATCTACAAAATCCTTCGTGTCGTGCCATCCACCAGCTCAAAAACATCTTAATTTCATTCACATTTTTAACGTAGAAATTTGATTTTGTTATAACACAATTCAAATTAAATGAAAAAAGATTCATCCAAAATAAAATGAAATTAATGGATAAGAATATTACAAGATCCTGTGCTTGTTATATTTATTATTTAATCATCATATCCAAAACAGGTTGTATCATGTTTAAATTCGTGCTTCTGTCTAAATATCGTGTTAACTAGCCCACTGTACAAAAGAAAAAACAAAACACGAGTCATGCATAACCCAACACCTCAGGCCCAAAATTTCTCTGCATAACACGTGATCAATAGGCAACCCAATCTCCGATCATTGTTTTATTAATGTTTAATCAATGTAATCCTTTCCATTGTACCGTATTATATACATTTAAGTAAATCCAAACCATTATTATACAGCATCATTGCAAGTTTGATCCGGTCTAGGAAAATCGTACAATTTGAGGTGCTTTGGAATAATAGGCATGTCAAAATCTAGAATCCCATTTGCATTTTTGTGACGGTCGTACGTACAAGACAAAAGAATAAGATTGACATAGTCAAGGACATGGTCAGCGTTAACTATTGCCGTTTATTGCAATTTGCAATTCAGTTCCAATAACACGAATACATGGAAAGATTGTTTACTGACTGGTCAATTTTTCATGAGTCAACTTTTGCGTACGGTCTTTTCTCAAATGTGAATTCTGGACAACATGAGAAGTAAGTAAAGGATGCTTTCGCCTAACGCCATTCCAATGTTGCGCGAGTTTAAACAGTAATTTGGCAGTGATGTCTCGTTCGGTGCATCGATTTGAATTGTGATATAATTTTATATGATAATTTTTAACTGTAATAAAAAAGTTAGATATAACGTTTTGTTAAAATTTTTAACTGTAGTAAAATTGAAATTGAAAACTCGAATCGGTAAAATGAACGTTATAAGGATGAACTATAGTTTTATGATTAATTGATTTCAAAGCAAAGCTAACATTTATTGGAGTACCAGGCTTGATCTTGGAGTAATTTCACGCTTAGCTTTAATACTGAGGTTTACGATTCAAATCCTCCAACTCTAAATAAATAAATAAATAAACATTTTTGGAGAAAAAAAAATGCTGATATTTATGATATTTCAGTTTCTAGAAGCAGCATGCTGGCTGGTATATGTCCATTTCTGGAAGTCTGCAGACTTGACCTGAGAATTATAATTCAAGTGAGTGTTTAATCAAATGTAAATATAGTTAAAGTTTGAATGTGTCAAAATAATCGTAAGAAAACAAGTTTAAAGAACAGAGGAAAAAGTAGGGATTTTTTTTTGGCTAATCAAGTAGGGGTATTTATTGTGTATCCTCTTTTTGTTTTTTTTTTTTTTTTTTTTTTAAATAGGTAATTATTGTGTATCAAGAAATAAAGAGGAGTATGTTTTCACTTTGTATAACCATCTTTTTCTTTCTTTCTTTCTTTTTAATCTGCTCTTTTTTAACATGGTTATCTTTTCATGAACCTTTTGTTTTAATTTTTTATTCTTTTGCTAGGATTTTTCATGAGTTATTTGTAATATAGATACCTTTGCTATAAACATAGTAATCTCCATATGATCATCTCTTATAGGTTGTCCTTTCTCCTCAAAGAGTAGGTATGCATTAGCAAAATTGCTCATCATGTTTCTAAACCAAAAAGATCTCCTATACAAAGAAAGACAAGGGTAACATCCTGAAATATTGGTTGACTATTTTGGATCCTCGTTGAACAACATTTCAACCAATCTCAATTACACCAATTACTAGACAAAGTTAGATCAAATTTTAAGAAGTTGCTAGAGACCAATCTACCAAATCATAACCAATACTTGAAAACACCTTAATCATAAGGCTGACATATTACCCCAGGTCACACCACCTAACTTCTTATCACTTTAGCCTCTTATTTTGTCCTAAAAAAAAAAAGAAGTAAAAGCACTAGATTTTAATTGGAAAACTAAATCAAACGATAAACTACAAAAAATCCCTCTCATTGTTTCCATCAGCATCAGCTTGCCTATGATTTTTCAAATGTGTCAACAATACCCTTTAAACTTCAATGAGTTTTTTCGCCTATTTTTATTATCATTTCTCAACGGGTGTCTTACACATTTGTCTTCTAAACATATGTGATTTTAACGACTTGCCTCCTAAACTTATAAAATTATTTCAATATGCTAAATCTTAATGATGATTGTGTTAAACAAGTGTCGAAAAAGCACATTCGACGAAAAAGTCTAACGTCTTGATTCTAATGTAACACAAATATTTTAATTCCTTAAATCTAATAAGAAATTTGAGCAAATTTAGTAAAATGAGATATATTACAATAATTTTACAATTATAGAGAGGTTAATTATCAACGTGAGAGTAATTTGCTAAACCACAATAAATTCGAGTATAATTGTGTTAAAATTTCTCAAATTGATGAGGTGTGGTTAGCATATTTGAAAAGTTGGAAAATAAGTCGATACTACTCATGACAAAGTTTAGGGATATTTTTGTAATTTAGCTGTCCGAGCTCGGTCTCTTTCTTACCTTAATTCATCATTATGGCTGGTCATCTAATTCTAATCCATGTCCCATTAAGATTAATCCACAGACTTGGCTTGTGGCCTTGGACCAATTCCTAGTAGAGAGGAAAAAGTGGTCCCCAGTTAGCGGCTAAGTGAACAGCAAATAGCGTTTATAGTTTGGCGCTTACATCAACTTCCCGGGTCCTATGCAGAAGGAAGACCAACTACCATTCTTCTTCTTCTTCTTCTTCTCCTTCACGTCATATACAATATGATTTTGATTTATTCAAACATATCTATATACGTTTGTTTTACTCTATTATTATCATTTATAGTCTATAAATCTCAGTCTTCAGATTCCTTACGTTCTTAATTCTTATTATCAAAGCCGCCATGGTTTGAAAACTGCTGCATGCTAATTATAGGAGTCTCAAAGTTGTTATTTCCCTCATCTCGGTAAAGGTTGGAACACACTACCATCTTTTAATGATGTTTTGTTTTCTGTTCTTCGTTTGTTTTATGTACGTTTTTGGTTATTATGATTATTATTATTATTAAACTGCCTATGCTTAGTTTATCGAACTCTATTAGAATATTCTTGGGTTCCTCTGCAAATTTCTTTAATTCCTTCTCTCTCTCTCTCTCTCTCTCTCTCTCTCTCTCTCTCTCTCTATTAGAATATTCTTGGGTTCCTCTGCCAATTTCTTTAATTCCTTCTCTCTCTCTCTCTCTCTCTCTCTCTCTTTCTCTCTCTCTCTCTCTTTCTTTTTTTTTTTCCTTTTAGTAAAGTTTGAGGATTTCATGTGTTTAGGTTCGATAAAATTTGGGCGGAATTCGATTGCTTTGGTCTCTTTGATCAGGAGTCTCTGCGATTCTCGTCCTCTTTCAGTAGTTATATATATATATATATATAATTTTATTTTTGAAAAATAATCTTTCAGTAGACGTTGAAGATGTTTACTGTATTGTGTATCGTTCACTACATGATATAAGCAAAAAGTCTAGATATACTATCTTTTATGAGTTATATTTACAGTTTCGGCCGCTAAGCAAAAGAAGAAACAAAAATACACTTAAAATAGCAAAGAGAAGCAAGGGAAAAAAAAATAGAGAGAGAAATTTAAGCCTTTTCAGATGGTGGGTACTTTGTATTTTCTTCTGTGGATGAATAAAATAAAATCTTTATTTCACCAAAACTATAAAAGATTAACCGCCCTTTGTTTTTTACAACATTTTAGCAATCTATTTGAATCCTGTCAAAATCAAAGTACATCATAAAGCAGTCCTTAAACAAGTGGCTTACATTACAAATTTGGTTATTTCAGGCATATACATATACATATACATATATATATATATATATATATATATATATAGAGAGTGAGAAGAGAAGTGGTAGTACACGAAGTTCTCAAGCTCAGAAGGACAAAACATATAAATAGTCTCCATTGTAGTACAAATTAAAAAAAAAAAACAATGGGAAAGCATTTGCAACGCAATGACTCGGTTAATGTTGGGGGCAACTTTCATGGGTGTATGTGTGGCATACTTCATATTCTTGATTACCATCATTGGCAAAGCGCCAAAAAGGTACTTCCACATAAAAAGCAAGGTGCAAAACGACGACGTGTCAGATGTAAGCTATCTCTCTATCAATCTCAGTTCCTTTATCAAACCTCTTTTAATGATTTTATGTTGCAAGTCTGAATATTTGATGCAAAACTCAAAAAAAGTAAAGTGTCATATGTTACCAGAACACATATATCTCGTTTATTTTATCGATTTGAATTTTTAATTTTAAGTTTTTATAGTTAAAAATTCTAAAAAAATGTCACATTTCAACTTAAATTTGCAAAACAAACTAGACCGTAATTTAAATGGTTGAGTTTACACTTATGTTCAAGATTCCTTTTTCAACGTTGTATTAATGGTACTTAAAATCCCATGATAGTACGAATAAAGGCTCAGCTAAATGAATGTAATACTTCCATCCGCAGAAGAAGTTTTAGTGTGGCACTACAGAGTTGAGAGGTGTAATTTTACCTATGAGTCTTCATATTGCTATCTCATTTTCTAGTTCTATACAAACTCAGCAGGAGTAAATGCTTGCAGGGAATGAAAGTCCAAAACCAAAATTGAACAACTGTGATTCAGGCGAAGTGTTTATGGACGATGGTGCGGAACAATTGATGGTAAGTTCATGTCACAAGTTGATTTTTAGCAGAACTTAAGAAGTGCTGGACTGCTAGTTGTGATTTGAAACAATATTAAAAAGTGTTCATCAATTATGTGAACAAAAACTGATAGTATCTAATTTGAATAAATTAGGTCGATCGACATAACACAGATTCAGTTCCTGCAAGCAAAAGATATGGAAAAGCTCGCATAAAATCGCCATTGCCAAGAGCAAAAGAGGGGGAAGGTCACCACAGAAGGTGGATTCTGAGCTTCCCTCCGCAGTCATGGTTTCATAGAACTAATCCAGTCAATAATCTAGAGCCTTCGGAGAATTATTTGGGTCAAATAGGCATTGATGAGACTAGTCCAGTTACTGTCCCTCGGCCTAATAGAGATGTTTCCGATCAACAACTCGACAAATGCGTTGACATTCTCGAGATATTTAAGGCCAACAAGGAGTTTTTCTTGAAGATCCTACAAGATCCGGATGCTTGTAAGAACCACTTTCGTGGTCTGAGGAATTCCAATATCTCGGTTAGATTAACTAAGTCAAGGTCATTCCCTTTAGCCAATTCATCACAAGCTAGAAATATCAGGCCTAGTACACTCAAACACAAGCAGAATGAAGTATGGCTCTTCCTGAATAGAGAACAATCCAAATTTCAAAAGGATCATCATGTGAATTCTCTAACAGCTGATCCTGGCGATACATCAGGCAGTGTCAATAACCATGGATGGAATCAATTGGTCATAAACCGGTTAAGTGATATCAAGCAGAAAATAAAGCATGCACTAAAGGAGAGCAAAAGGGAAAGGGGCCAAACACCTGTTGAGGAAGAATACCAGAAAACCCCATTTGGAGACAGGACTTCCATTGATAGGCTGGAGATTACTATTGACCAAGATAGTAAAAAGAACGACAGTTCAGACGATGATTTAAGAAGGCGAAGACTCCAACGTGTGGGAAGAACAGTTTCTCTAAATGAGTCACTAGAAAGATATGCCAAGTTGTTTGAGAATACTTCTGGTAAGGAGACCAAGTACAGTCACTCTAGGAGCTTAAGAGTGACAAGTGAAGAAAAAGTTGCTCCTCATGCTCGAAAATCCTGCAGGAGAAACTTGTCTCTTCCTGATATTGACTTTCTCGCATCCCTTTTGAATGGCACATCCCGTGGTTCTTTTCGCTTAGAGATGCCAATCAAGACTCTAGTGGATCGTAGTACAAATGAAAATGGAGAAAATCAGAATACTCAACCGGAGTCATCAAGCATTGCTTTAGTAGATGTAGAAAAGTCGGAGCTGTTAGATGCTGTTGTGGAGACGAGATTGCAGAATAGCATTGTTGAAAGAAGTGAGACCATTGCAAATATTTACTCAGATGATTTAATAGTGGATGAAAATGAAAAGGGTATTCCTGGGACTGATAACACCCTTGAGGACGCAAACGAGCCCCTGAAGAGAGAAAACAGTTCTTGCCAAGAAGAGATTTATGTCACAGAGGATTCAGGACTAGAGCTTTCACAGCCAAATCAAGGATCAGTTATAGAAACTTGTTTTTCGGACCATGTGTCAGAAGGTAATCATAGATTCTACTAAAGCTTGAAATAATTTTTCCCATCTCGAAAATGTGCATTTTGTTCTAATTAAGTAGCTTTGATGATAACTGTTTTGGCTAAATTGTGTTCAGGTTTGGATGAGACAGAATCTTCTATGCTCCAACAAAACAGGAACACCAAAGCTCTAAAGCATGACAGAACTGAAGATAGAAACCGAAGCTTAGACAACCGCTCGGGGCACTACTTCCAACCCGACATAACAGGAAACACAGACTTCAACTACGTCAGAGACGTACTAGAACTCTCAGGCTTCATTGACAACGAGGAAACTTCAACATGGCACTCACTTGACCAACCTCTGAGCCCTTCAATGTTCAAAGAACTAGAGGACATGCTTCACCATGAAAACGAGATTTCGGAAAATATCTGCAATCACCAGCTTCTTTTTGACTTGGTTAACGAGACACTAGTGGAGATGAATGAGAAATCGTACACATACTTTCCAAAGGCGTTTTCCTTGGGTCGCCTTGTCCGTCCAATGCCAAAAGGAGACCATCTTCTGAAGGAGATTTGGACAAGGATAAGCTCGTACTTGCGCTTGAGGCCAGAGCTTGACCAGTCGCTTGATGATGTTGTAGCTAGAGACTTGGCCAAAAATGATGGTTGGATGGATTTGGAATGGGAGATGGAAATGGTGGCTCTTGAGCTTGAGGATGACATCTTTGATCAGTTGTTGGATGAAGTTCTATGCTCTTGAGAAAAACAAAATTTTGTTTTTGTTTTTTTATAGAAATTATTTGTTGTGTATATGTATATGCATGAAATTTTGGTCTCGTGTTGTGTGTTATATATACGTCATAAAGCTAAAGCATACTTAGTTAAGCATTCCACTTTTAGCTGATGTAAAGATTCTTTGTAAATTTTCTTTTGGGAACTCCATGTGTATAAATTACTGTGGTATATGACTTTCAAATTAAGTTGCAAACAAATTTGAAGAGTTTGTCTTATTAAATTACATAAAACGAAAATTCATAGATTATGGTGGAATAAGTATGAATTTTTTATCCTTGTTGGTCTGGTATTTAGAGAAAAGGAAGACATAATGCTATTATTTACCGTCACCTATAATACTTGTAGACATAACAAGTAGTTTTTCTTCCCCTGATGCAAAAGACATAACAAGAAGTTAGCGCCAAATAAAGCACTTCTTTTCTCCTTATAATGTTTAAAATGTCATCACTCTAGAAATATTTTATTTCGTCATTGCATTGTTTATTTAGAGAAATTTGTGGTAGAACATGAAAAAAATACTCTATTGATGTGTAGTTCAAATTACAACTATATCAAATTAAATGAAGTATAATTGTTTTACGGGAGTCTCACGTGATGAAAATCCGTGATCAATTAAATATTAACGCTTTCCATCCTTTTAAATCCTTTTAAAAAAGTTTGGGAGCATTAATAGAATTGGACCAAATAATCAATTTACTTTTTTCTTTTTTTTTTGAAAAAAAAAAGATTATGTTCACTAGTGTTTTTGAATTTCAAAGTTATTCTTACTTTTATCTCTTAAATTTTAAAAACTCTCCATTTACTTCTTGAATTTTGAATTTGTACCATTTAAGTTCTTTTGTAATAATTTATATTAAAGTCAAAAGGAAAAAAGAGGAAATTATGTGTAATTATGTGATTTTTATCCGTTTATCTTTAACAAAAATTTAAACAAAAAAATTATATAACTCCAGTATTCTTTTTTTTTTCTATTTATTTTTAATAAAAATTATAATAGAAAAGAGTTATATGTTATAATTCAAAGTTTTAAAAATAAAATGAGAGTTTTTAAAATTAAAAAATGAATTGAGAAGGTAAGGAATTAAAAAAAAAAAAAAAAAACAGCTTCAGAAAAATCCCTAAAAAACCTAAATACTAAACGACATGATTTCATGTGTATTCGTCCCGCAAACGACCGACGAAACCAAGCTTTCCTCCCACTATTCGCCGCCGAGGAGGATTTTCATTTCCAGGTATGAGAAAAACGTGTTTCAAAAGGATTTTTCAATGATTTTTCCCTTTTGATTTTGCTAATCTCTGCCGTTTAAAAAAAAAATTTCACTGGGTATGAGATTAACTTGAGGTTTTGCAAAACCCAAACCTGGCTCCATAAGCCTGGGAGTTCTTCAAAGTCGGAATTTACTTTAGCGTCTTATCTCAAGAGGTGGTTTCCTTTTGCCTCATTTTATTCATCTGCTCTGTGCAATTTTACGGCTCTTTTTTTTTTTTTTTAGTTGCCGTTTGATTGCTTGGAACTTCCCATTTCTGATAAGCTTGAACCTGAGAGAAACAAATGGGAAAGACAAACATTTATTAGAACTGTAGGCTAGTATTTGGATGAGCTGAAATGGATCAAGAAGTTTCACTTTTGATTGGAAACAATAGAGATTCATTTGTTGTGTATTCAATGTCTTTATCTAATTAGTGCACTTCACTTTTTCTGCTGGATAATCTCATTAGCGTAGCCCACTTGATTGTAGTTTGTGAATTCTTCTCAAACTTTAGCCATTTATCTTTATCTTAATGAGTTATTGTCAGGTTAAATAAAGGGTATCTCAAATTGGTTTCCTGAGAGCTGGTGATATCAACGCCTATTTTCTATTGAAACAATGAGACTACATAAGTTTTCTAGTTGATGAAATGAATAAATTAAAATTTGGAGAATCATTTTTATTTATAGCTAATCAATCTAAACTAACAAGAAAAAAAGAAAGAGAAAAGGAAGATGACGTAGAGAACTGTATATGTGTATATATATTTAACAATGTCCATGATTTCTGCTGCTGCTATATTGCGTCCTTACCGAAAATTACAACATGATGAAACTGATAAATTTTCTGTTTTCTGTGTGGGCTTACAGAGTTCGAGGTTCGGTAGAAGCAAAGGGATAGCTTATTCAAAATCGCAATTATAGGTTGTTGAACTTAAGTGGATATTTTGAGTAATAAGAATAGAGAAGGAGATGTTATTACACTACACAAAATCCCTTCGGCACTTAAAAGTCTTAAGGCTGTCCATAAAAACTCCATGGAACTTCCTGCTTCATTCTCCTTATTCAGACATCCCTCTGAAGAATTCGAAGCTCGCCCCTCTTCAGGTTTTGCTATTCTTCCTCTCGGAGTGGTGTCTGCGTCTGCAAGTAGCCTGATATGCAAGCGCATATAACATTCTGTTTTGCATTTCATTTCATTTTTTCTTTTTCAGGAGAGGAGAATGATAGATAGGTTTAAGTTGTATGCCAAAGGAGGTAATGGTGGAAGTGGTTGCTCCAGCATTCGCCGTAGTGTGCATGATCGCCGTGGCAGACCTGATGGTGGGTTCTCTATAATAGTCAAGTATCTGTATGATCACCATTTGTTTTATTATTAGAGGTGTTTGTTTCTAGTCAATTTAACTAAGCCATGGTAAACTTATGTTAGTTCTATTTATGAAGCATCAATCTTTGTTGTCGAACTCTTGTACTATTTTAGGTGGGAATGGTGGAAGAGGTGGTGATGTTATACTCGAAAGTTCCCCAGCAGTTTGTGACTTCAGCTGTTTGCAACACCACGTTGTATGTGGTAACCTTTTGTACCCCGATTTTACTGAACAAGAAACAGCTTGATAGTTTGAAATTAGCAAATTTTTTGTTACAGTTATTTTGTCTTGTAGGCTGCAGGCAGAGGAGGACATGGCACCTCAAAGAATAGGATTGGAACCAGGGGAGCTGATAAGGTTATTTATTTATGTTATTTGTTGAATCGCTTAACTGAATGAGATGCAACAGTTCATTCTGAAATTCTGGTGTCTGGTAGGTTGTCCAAGTACCAGTTGGCACTGTAATTCATCTTATAAGAGGTGAAATTCCTTGTGCAGCTGACGACCACTCTTCAAAAGATTTGGATCCTTGGGAGATTCCCGGTACACTTACTGATGAAGTATCGGGATTAGACAAGGGAACTGGCCTTAAAGACTCAAGTGTGGCAGAGAAGATGCGTAGTTCGTCCTTTCCTATTGAAAGAAGCATAAAGGAATTGACGAGCATGGAGAAGAACTCACGAGACGCACCACACGTTTTGCATTCTCATTTTTCAGCTTCTGAATCTTGCTCAGAAGAAGAGACGGATGAAAAAGAAGAAATGCGATGCAATGTAGCAGAATTAACAAAACAGGGTCAACGAATAATTGTTGCTTGTGGAGGGGAGGGTGGTTTGGGTAATGTCTCAACTTCCAGAGTCTCAAAGAGGCATAAACATACAAATTCGGAGTTCGACAGAGACAACATATTTGAACTCAAAGTATCTGATGGTGATCAGTCTTCAGTTAGTGCTGGCTTGGCCGGTTCAGAGGCCATTTTGGTATTAGAACTCAAGAGCATTGCTGATGTGAGCCTTGTGGGGATGCCAAATGCTGGCAAAAGTACACTGTTGGGTGCTATATCAAGGGCCAAGGCTTGTGTAGGCCACTATGCCTTCACAACTCTCAGACCAAATTTGGGGAAGCTGAACTATGATGACCTATCAATCACAGTGGCTGATATTCCAGGACTCATCAAGGGTGCTCATGAAAACCGTGGCCTCGGACATGCATTTTTGCGCCACATTGAACGCACGAAGGTTCTAGCTTATGTGGTGGACTTGGCTGCTGCATTAGATGGGAGAAAGGGAATTCCACCGTGGGAACAACTGAGAGACCTAGTTTTGGAGCTTGAGTACCATCAAGAAGGGTTGTCAGAGCGACCTTGTTTGATAGTGGCGAATAAAATTGATGAAGAAGGGGCAGATAGGGTATACGACGAACTGAAAACAAGGGTTGAAGGTGTTCCTATTTATCCTGTGTGCGCCGTCTTGGAGGAGGGAATTCCAGAGCTTAAAGCTGGTCTTAAGAAACTTGTAGAAGGTGGAATATCTTTTACACTCGGAATAGATAAAATTACGGTTGATTAAAGTTTGTGGATGTCATAATTGCCATTGAGACTTGAAAGCTTTCCATTCTCTCTGGAACGCCAAAAAATATAAAACAAGCAGAACTTGCAAGTTGCATGCTTGGACTGTCATTGTTGGTGGTTTTTGAGTTTGGGTTTCTGGCATTTATAAAAATGACCGTTTACATAAAATGTTCCTCCATACTACACCGTTTTACTTCAGTCTCTTTCCAGTTGAGCTAATGAGGAAGTAAATAATAATTATCAAAAAAAGAAAAGAGGAAGTAAATAAATTGCTTCTTGTTTTTGGTGATGAGCTTCTCGTCTGTATCAAGCTTTCAATTTTTGTTACTTGCATTTCAACCTTTGCCTGTATCAATCCAATACACTTTTAAGTGTTGAAAAACATGGTCAAGCACAATTTCTATTATAGTCAAAGTCGAAAGTCTCTTGTCCACCGAGCCGTGCGTGGGAATGCACAACCGGGGGCCGGCATACTCCTCTCGCTATTCCTCTGTCTGAACCTGAAAATAAAAAAACAACCTGAAAAAACGACATCAACATTAGACTAAAGAGCAGTACGTCAAGTCGTCAACTGGAAATAGCCATTATGCTAAAAGGTAAAAGGTAACATGAACATAAAACGACAATTATGTTGACGGAGTGTTAAAAAGTGGATTTAAAAGCATAATTTAGAGCTAAAAAGAGAGCACCGGAATTTAGAGTGATTCACCCCCAAATACCGGGTTACGTCTACTGAGTATTTTCCACTAATCATTTTAGGAAGAATTACAATCTTTCTCAGGGAATTGCCTAGAGAGGTGTTACAATGCTCACTCTTATGCCCCAAGAGGAAAGAGGTTTTTTGTGATTCTCTTTGTAGCCCGGAGTCCCTCCTGTCTCTCTGTCTTTCCTCTTCATATATACTATCGTATCTGTTTTCTGCCCAGCTCCATAGGCCGTACTTTGAGCTGGTCATGTCATTCCTCATAACAGTACTCATTGGTAACTGAGATGTTGGCTGGTCTCCCACGTTCTCCACTGACTCTGCATGCATTTAATGCGTCCTACGTTCCTCACTAACTCTGTATGCATTTTTTGCCTGCCACATGTCTAAAAAGCTGTCACGCTACGTGAACGTGGGTGTGGTCGGCGCCTTAGTACTCCTTGAAGCGGTCTTTGCTCCTAAGGGAGAATAAGGTCGACTGTATGATGCACTTCCTAATGCGGTCGACCTCTTTTGGGGTTTAGCTCCTATTTACAGTCGGCGTCTAGAGTTGGTGTCTCTGAGAAGGTACAATTCTTTGTGGTGTACTGGCCCGGCCTTTTAATATTTGTAATACCACGTGGTGAGCGTCCACATGGCAGCCATCTAACGGCTGACGTGGAGGGTGGAATTTTTCCATAAAACAAATTAGATGTAAAATAAGATCAACGCAGCAATAACAATGTGATCATGAACCATTATCAACTTTAAGAGGGCCTACAAACTAAAAAAATATAAGAAATAACAAGGACGGTGTAATCAGGAATAACGACTTTAACAGTAAAATAACACAAACCTTGTTACCTTGAAAGCAATTCAAAACGACAAACCTAAAAACGGCATCAACATCGAAATAACAACGTGAAAACACAATCAATTTAGCTTACTCAAAAGCGACATATATTCAGGAAAACGACAATATACCGGCAAACTCCTCAAAAGAGAATCTGAAAAACGATAACAACAAAAAAAATAACTGACAAAGGGGGAAAAAAAAAACATAAGAAACAACGAGACTAAAACCGATAAACTCCAAAAAAGATAAGAAAATAAAAAGACAAAAATTCTGAGTGAAATTGAGTGAAGAAAAGAAAAACTGATAAAAAGACAAATTCTGAGTGAAATTGAGTGAAGAAAAGAAAAACTGCCAAGGTCATCTAATTGTTATTCTCTTCGATGTCGGCCAAGCAGAGAAGGTGGGGCAGAGGAAGCGAGACACAGGAGGAGACGGGCATGAAACTACGGTCTATTAATGAAAAAAAAATATTGCACGAATAGATAATGCATTTAAATTAACGATTTATGCAGAGTGATTTTGAAGTTTTCAAAAAGTTTTGAGGGAAGAGATTAAGAGAAAACTTCTGTCCCGCTTTACACACATATAAAAAATATATACATAGATATATGTATGTAAATATATTTTAATATTTATTTTACATAATAATGGCTTTAAAAATGTACGTAACACTAGAATGCGACAATAAATTTCTTGTTGGTAGACATTTTTAAAATCATTATTATATAAAACAAATAATATGCCTCCATTTCTACATGTTCATGTATGATTTTGCATATGTAAATATTATATGTGCTATTCATTTATGGAAAATGGTATTCAAGGGAAAAAAACCCACACTCATAAAATGGTGGGTTTTATTAGGTTAGATCTTATTTATTAACTTAACGGGGTTTATTTCATGTGAATAGCGGAATTTTAATCTTATGGGGGTGAATAAGGATACTCTTTATTTATTAAGGCCTTCGTTCATTTTACTGATTCGAGTTTTCAGTTTTAGGTTTCTACAGTAAAAAGTTCTCAGAAAATGTCACATCTAACTTTTTCTGCTACAGTAAAAAGCTCTCTAAAAATGTCACATCTCAGCTCGAATCCGCAAAGTTAACGAGACCTAAGTCATGGATAACAATGAAAAGCATCATTGCTCTTGTATTGTTCGTCTGAAGTCCTACACTATGACATATAAAAGAGTTTCAATGAAAAAAAAAAATGTAGAAGGGGGTAGCAGTGACTTTGAAAATATGAATATTTGTCTGCCATTAATAATTTCCTTATTAACATTTCCAAATAATTATTACATGCTATGATATACTCTTCACTTTTACATGTTAAATGAAGATCATTCACGAAGCATCACAGCCTTTACCATTTATTTGATTTTTTTTTTTTCTTGAGTTGGAATAAAGGACTAGTGACTTGGGAAAGACATCTACGTAGGAACCAATCCTTATTTTTGAAAAGGGAAAAGGAAAAAAGAGTGGATGAAGTTGAAGAAATGTTTAGAGAATATACTTTAGAGTCATAACTAAAAAGTCTATTTCCACAATCAGGGGATAGAAGCCACTGGAGGCCCACCATTAAGTTGCTACACTAATCATGAAGAATCCTCGCTCTCATATATTGTCCAACCCTTTTTTCTCTTCCCTTTATTCTTCAGATTCTTCTTTTTAAAATTTTTGTATTTTTTCTTTTTTAATGGGAAACGCAAATAAAATAGTGTTTCAGGAGATATAACTGTCTATGTTGCTTAAAAGGAGTACACAGCAACGCAGCATCAAACTGAAATTACTGATATGTGTATATCAAGGCTTTTGCAAATAAGAAAGCAGAAAATGACCCTATTTGAGTATAGAAAATGACCCTATTTGAGTATTTGGCCATTTTGAAAAATGAGTTTTGATTGGAAAATTTAATTCTACTTTTCACATTTTCCTTTTCTGAATGTTTAAAAAAAAAAAAAAAAAAAAGTCTTCAGCTTTAGTTAGATACCCAATGACTAGTATATGAATGTGGTTTACTTTTTTAAAAACTAAAACTTCCAAGGAATAAAAACTTCGATGTCCACAAGACTAGATGTTATAGTATAACGCCCTCTTATATTAAATATATGCATACATAAACACACTCTTTGATATGTACATTCATACATTCTTGAAAGCGTGGTTCACGCCTTAAGCTGCTCTTGGCCAAACTTAATTAAAAACAAATTATCTACTTAATTAATTGTTTGGAAGTTTCTCTTGTGGGACCAAAAAAATGAATTACAGTTAGTTTTTTATTTTTTAGTGGTTAAATTTGTATAAATTTTTTTAAAATTTCACATATTTTTTAATTTAATGTGATTTTAATCAGATCTAATTGTCAAAAATTCATACTACTTATAACGTGGCCTGCCGCAGAAAGTTCTTAATTGTAATTGGTCAGGAGAGTATTTAATATTTTCATTGTGTCTTTTAAAAAAATTCTTATAATTAATTCTTCTTGTCGAGGGTCCTACTAAGCCTATCGATATGCTCGAAGTTACAAGGATAATGTTTTTTTATCACAAGTCATACCGACTGAATATGACTTATACGTCCACTTGCTCTTAATTCTTGTCATCTCAAGTTTTATTTACCCAATAATTTATGGAAGGTTAATATTACAATGTTGACTATAGGTTATCTTTTAGAAAAATGATATCTTGTTAGATTATAGATTGTACCGCACCCATATATGTATATGTTTTATTTCATATGCATTGCAGAATATAGATACATGACATAACCATTTATAACATAAGATTTGTATCTTGATTTGAATTATAATTCGTGATTCGTTATAGTATTTTTTCTCATAAAAAACACATATAACTTATCATAATTCTAAATTTATAAACCAAACGTTTATTAAGTCCGACACAAAACTTTCATATAAATAATGAAAAAAATACAAAGTCCAGGATTCAGCCACGTGTTCGGTGGATGTCAATTGCTCGTAACCTCTGCTCCATTATAAATAGCAGTAAATTCCCCAGCAAAGAACTCATTCGAAAGGTTTTTGTGAATTCCATTACACTTTTAGTATCACTTATTTCTTCAAAGGAGAAGAAAAAACAGAAAATGTCTGGCTGTAACTGTGGATCTAGCTGCAGCTGCGGCAGCGACTGCAAGTAAGTTGTCACTAATTCGATTTTTTTTTCTCTAATTTCATATATCTCAATTCCTTTTTGTTTCCTTTTATTGTTTATCCTATTTTTTTATCCTTAATTTTTCTAATATTTGTGCAGATGCGGCAAGAGGTACCCTGACCTCGGAATATCCGAGGAGAACACCACTGTTTCTGTCATTGCTGGGTTTGCACCAACCAAGACGTACGTTTAATTTTTAACAAACTTCATAACACAATATTCTTTATGTAAACATAAATATTTTCTTAGGTTTAGGTCACGATTCTTACAGTGTTGGAGTCTAATTCATCCGGTTCACAAATTTAACTTTTTATTTTTTAATTTCAACGTTTAAAATTTGTAAGTAATCGTATTGAATTTGTAGGTACTTGTATATCAATTTACAAATATAATTTAATTTTACATTTTTTATGTTTAAATTCAAAAGCAAGTGTATCAAGTTTGTAAATAATCGTATTACGTCGTCGAATATCTACCGATTGCAGGTACTTTCAGGAGGCGGAGATGAGCTATGGAGCAGAGAACGGCGGCTGCGACTGTGGCGCAGACTGCCAGTGCGGCTCGAGCTGCGCGTGCGGCAAATGATGGATCAGATTATGATCACAACAATGCCCAAAAAGAACAAGAGTTCTCTCTATAAAAATAAGAAATAATAAAGGAAAAAAAATGATGTAGCACAAATGTTTGGGGGATTTTTGGGTCTAGTTTGGGTCTAGTTTTATGATAAAAGCGTTTGCTGTAAATAAGACTGCCATGGAATTTTCTACAAATCCCATATCCTAGGATTTGTGGTTTTATATGTATTCCATGGCTATTTCCATGTTTGATTTCTACTTTTTTTCAATAGTTGTGTTTCTTTCCTGTGCTTTGCTAATTTGTGTGTTTGAAGCGTGTTTGAGTTTGAAGTTAAAAGAAAAAGGACAAATTGTCTACTATGATCTCTGTCGTTTTGTCGGCAATTTCTTGTTCTTGCAGGTTCTGGGTCAGGTATAGATGGGAGTTTTTGTTGAGAAATCGTACTAGAATTGTGGAAGGAAGAAAGTAATATATCATTACAACTGGTAAACGATATCTATATCGTATTTCAGCAAGAAAATAAATAAATAGGTACACAGATAGGGAGATGTCGCAAGTAAAATAATGTGTAAAATTCTGTTTATTCTACCGATTTGAGTTTAGAATTTAAGTTTTATTACGATAAAAAACTCTTAACAACAGTTATATTTAATTTTCTTATTACAATAAAAAAATTTTATATAAAGTCACATTTTAATTTAAATTAGTAAATTAAATCGATTCTTATATTTTAATTTTCAAACCACATACTTATCACCTAGACTTTCGTCAATTGCATAACTATACGTCGATCGATTACTTGGGTAAGTTTGAATTGACAATTTGTTAATTCGTATACGTAATCAGGTGAAAGAAAACAACTCGTTGACCGCCTCCTTTGTAGGGCCGAGGTTTATTGACAATTTGTTAATTCGTCTACGTAATCAGGTGAAAGAAAACAACTCGTTGATTGCCTCCTTTGTAGGGCCGAGGTTTATTGGGTTACAAAAAAGTCGTACGGAGTTTTTCGGCCGTATTTAGAACACCCAAATGAGAAGGGGATAATTTTTCAAAATATCACTCATTCCATAATATTAGTTCATATATTTTTATTTTTTAAAAAATATATATTTTTAATAAATTAAGTATTTAAAAATATAAAATTTGTAATTTTCTCTTTGAGGGAAAAATATAGTAGTATGCCACCCAAATTTAATAACTTGCGATTATGTCATCTAATTTCTCACTATTTTTATTGATTTTAAAAAATTCAATATTATATTAGAATACTCACCGAAAACTAGAGTCGAAAATGTCCGGCCATCATTTTCTTAAAACAATAGAATTTTCTAATTAATTGAGTGGTACAAATGTTAGGTTAATATAGTTTGATGGCATAAATGTTACATCTTTTTTCAGTGGTATTTTGTGTTTCGCCCTAAGCAATTAGTGCGGCACGTTTGTGGAGCTGAACCACAATTGAAAAAAAAAAAAATAGGCATGCAAACAATTTCTGTTCGTCTCATACAGACATTACGTCGAACACCTTTCGTACAATATTCCAGGGCCGATAAACTCCCATCTCGTTTCGGTTTTTTCTGCACCCAAGCGCCTAATAATCTTCCTAATGAAGAACCGGAATCAAAACGAGAAGAAACAACCAGGCCATGCTTGTCATATAGGATTGAGAAACTGCCGAAAGGCGAAGCAGTTCTCTCTGCTTTTCAGAACTGGATGGGAGATGGCTTTCCTGTTCACAGAGGCGACATTTTCCACGCCATTAACCGCCTCAGGAAGCTCAAGATGAACAAACGCGCTCTTGAGGTTTGACTTTCTTGTATTTTCCTTTTTTTTTGGGTTGAGCTTTATAACAGTTAATAGAGTGAATTCTGCTTGTTCTGGTTTACCCAGATCCTGGATTCAAGCTCTTAATTTCGTCTAGATGTCGTTTTCTCATTGCAATATCGAGAAATATTTATGACGTAATTTTAATTATTGGCATTTTTTCACTAACGCATAAGTGGGGAAATTGCAAATCTTTTGCTTAGTCTTTTGGGCATTAAATTTGGCTTCTTAGTAGATTGTTTCAGCATAAGTGGGGATTATGGATTTAAAGTTTATTGTGTTAGTGTTAGTATTTTTTTTTTTTTTTAATGAAGTGATAATCAATCACTTTTGACAGGTAATGGAATGGGTGATCAGGGAAAGGCCCTATAGGCCAAGAGAATTGGACTATTCTTATCTGTTGGAATTTACAACTAAGATTCATGGGATATCACAAGGTGAAAAACTCTTTTCTCGTGTCCCCAAAGAGTTTCAAAACGAGCTCCTCTACACCAATCTGGTGATCTCATGCTTGGATAAAGGTGCAATAAGTCTTTCACTAGCATACATGAAGAAAATGAGGGAATTGAATCATCCCATCTCATACTTGGTCTTTAACCACCTAATTATCCTCCATTCATCACCGAGGCGTAGGAAGTCAATTCCGAAAATCCTCGCTCAAATGAGGGCGGATAAAGTGCTCCCACATGTCTCCACCTACAACATTCTTATGAAGATAGAAGCCAACGAGCACAATATTGAAGGGCTGATGAAGGTATTTGATGACATGAAGCGGGCAAAAGTCGAGCCAAATGAAATATCTTACTGCATAATTGCCACTGCACATGTTGTTGCAAGGTTATATACTGTTGGTGAGGCTTATGTCGAGGCTATAGAGAAGTCCATGACAGGGAATAATTGGTCAACACTGGATGTTCTTATAATGTTGTACGGGTATTTAGCGAAGGAAAAGGAAATAGAGAGAACGTGGAAAGCTGTGCAGGATTTGCCCCATGTTAGGTCCAAAAGCTTCGTGTTGGCAATTGAAGCATTTGGTAGAATCGGTCAGCTTGATCGAGCCGAAGAACTTTGGCTAGAAATGAAGTCAAAAAAACCGTTGAATACCACAGAGCAGTTTAACTCTATATTGTCTGTGCATTGCAAGCATGGGCTTGTCAAAAAGGCATCTGGACTTTACAGGGAAATTGGAAACCATGGGTGCAAACCAAATGCCATAACGTATAGGCATCTTGCTTTGGGCTGCTTGAAAGCGGGATTGGTGGAGGAAGCTGTAAAAACTCTAGAGAAGGGGATGGATTTGACAACAAGCAATGTCATCAGAAATTCGACCCCGTGGTTGGAAACAACTTTGTCAATAATTGAGAGTTTTGCAGACAAAGGTGATGTGAGGAATGCAGAAAAGTTATTTGAAGAACTGAAAAAGGCCAAGTATATCAGGTACACTTTTGTTTTCAACACTCTAATTAAGGCCTATGTTAAGGCCAAGATTTATGATCCGAATCTGTTGACAAGGATGATTCTAGGAGGAGCTAGGCCAGATGCTGAGACCTATAGCCTCATGAAACTTGCTGAGCAGTATAGAACCTGATTATTGTTATATTCTTATTATTATTGAAAGTTACTATAATTTTCTGGTTTGCTTGTTCAATTTTGTGTACAGAAGCTGTGTATTGATGCAAAAGGAATGAAAGCAAGATTTATTAGTTTAGGAGAGAAATTTTGAGGATTAACCTCTTGTATGGAGAAATTTTGAAGTTGGCATAATTTTGTCTGTTGAATTTACAGCTGAAATAATTTGATGGATGCTGAGAATGCTTAACATCTAGTTTTACCTTGCCTTGGTGGTTCACCACACTCACTGATATAAACATATTATGATTCATGATACTAGCCTGGTTCAATATTGCAAGTATTTGCATCTTTTGTATTTTAATGCCCATTTTCTCAGGGATGTTGCCGTTTTAAGTTGTATGTCGCTTTTAAGGTTGTTGTCGTTTCTGAAGTTTCATGTCCTTCTTTAGATTCTTTGAGGTGTCACCTGTTTTGAAATTTCTTTGGGGGAAAGGAGACGAGAACCAGGATTTTTACCTCTACTCTTGATTAACAACCTTTCTAGTCAAATAACTATACTAGCAAAATGGAATTAATCAAGAATGAGAGGTAAAAATACAGACCCATAAGGGTAAATTTTGTAATTTTCTCATTTCTTTGCCGTTTTCATCGAGCCTGTATTTTCTAATTTTGTTGTTGTTTTTCAGGTAATAAGCTGTTTAAGAATTTGCTGTTGTCTTAAGGTTGTAGTTAGAAAAGAGTCGAGGGAGTACAATCCAAACAGGTTAGTCTTTTTGGATTTCCGAAAACACAACGTGGAAGGTGAAATTTAGCGTGAAAACGGTAGCATTTATGTATTTTCCCTGAAGTTTATGTTGTTAGTTGTTTTAAAATTTGGTTGACGTTTACTTTTCTGTGGCTTGTTTTCGTTCGATTTTGCCGCCGTTTTTTTATTTACATGTCGTATTTTAAGTCGTCGTTTACTCTGTTATCTTAAGTTTCGTTGTTGTCTGCATGCACCATGTCGTTTTATTTTGTTGTTCATTTCCAAGTTTAATGTCGTTGTCTAATTTTTTGTCATTTTTAGAGTTATGTCGTCTTTACATTTTGTTTTCGTTTTCCAAGTTAATAAGTAAAATTTTGTTGGAAGTCATCAGGACGGATGTCGTCTGTGAATGTTATTGCCTTTTACTCAGGTTGCTGACCTGTTATTTTGTCATCATTTCTCTAACAGTTGTCGTTTCTTTGATCTTTGTCGTTTGTAATGTTTAGTTGTCGTTTTGCATTGTGTTGTTGTTTTAAAATGTTCTCCTCATTTTTCAGCTTCTTGGAGTGATACTTCTCACTTATGTCTTCAGAGCAATTGTTCCATATATAACATGTTGGCCATAATTTCTTTGACAACGATGGACTCAGACTGTCATGTATTTGACAGCAGTGAGAGACGAGCTTATTGTTTTGTATCCGAGGAGTCCCTCCAATTCATATGAACAATTAGGCTATTAGGTTCTGTAAATACGAGGTCGAAGCCCAAGTTATCGATGCCTTCACATTCCATCTATGATCTTTTCATCTTATTTTTCCACCAACGAAAACTGTAGCCCCATTCGGCTGATCGTGTAACAACATTTGTAGCCATTGATCAAGTATCTGATAGAGATTTTAAACCAAAACAAGTAGCAAACCTCTGCAGGGGAGGGTTCCAGAGTACGAGTGTACATGACACAAAACACTATTTTACACCAAATATTTAGAAATCAACGTTCACCTCTTATTCTTTCAACCTAACAAGATTCAACAAGCAAGAGTGACTACATTGTTCTGGCAAACTTGAAATGAAAATACACGGTTTAGAACACAACTTCCAATACTTCAGGTTAGATAGTTAATAAATTCTGCAGCAGTCGCCACGGCACTGCCGGTTATGGCATCAGTCAGAACTTTGTCCTTGTTATTTTGGGTGGCTATAGATACCAAAGCTCCAGTTACTGCCCCTCCAATCATGGCATTCTTCTGCAATATCCAGAGGAAAAAGAAAGCCGGTTCAAGACAAGAACATTAAGCTAAAACTGGAAACTATAAAACCTGAGCTTGCACAAAAACAATGCCTTGAAAAATTGCTTATTGGTTAAGAATCTAGAAACTCAATCTTGAATAAACCTCTCCATTTCTCAGAGAGCTAGGATCTCTTAGCTAATTGCTTATGGTTTGAGCAATTGCTTGACTTCTTAAGTTAACATTGGCAGAGTTACTGTTGTAAGATAAAAAAGAAATGAAAGAAACTATAGTAAATAACAGGTAACATTCTTTTTAAGTCAGGGAACCGTCTAAAGTTTATCATTCCATAAAAATAATTGAACTAAAGGACGAAAATCATAGCCATATCCAATTCAGGTAACTAAGATAAAGAAATTCGATTTCATTCTTTTCAAAGACTCGCGTATATGAACGATGGGAAGAAATTAGCAGTCCAAATAAGTACCCAGTCTCTGGTGCCGCGAATTCTCCCTATACCATACTCCATTCCCACATAAAGTCCAGCTACAGTCCCTGTGAGCATAGTAAAAGAAAATGTTGATGCAAGTACTCATTGTTGAAGTAACAGATCCTTTATTATATATGTGTATACGCAACAGGACTTTAAATAACTATGTAATATGTCTAAGCTTACCCCAATATGCACCTTCTTTACACATCTTCTTTAACTGCAACCAAAGTACTGCCCATTAGCAAGACCAGAAGACGTTCCACTAATGGGATTATCTCTCTATGAACACTTTTAGCAATTATATGAAAACATTCCCGGAAAACTTCATTTTGATCAGTTCTAATATTTTACATATTAGTAGAACAACTATAGCCCCTATAGCAGCTAGACTTAAAATAAATAAATAAATAAAAAGAAAAAAAAACAATAATTCTAGAGAACTTTTACTACTTATATTATTGATTCATGTGTCAAACAATGATGTAATAACAAGAAAAGGAAATTCTTAAACAAAATGATTATAACGCGCCCAGAGAAAATACTCACTGTGTGCTCAAAATTGTGTCGAGAAACACTTCCTGCAAAAATAGCATGTAATATTATTAAACACACTAATTTATCACAAAATCAAGCAATTCTAAGATCAACATTTCCGAATTGGAACAAAAAAAAAGGGATTACCTTTTTTGACGATGTGATAAGTATCCTCAGCAACAACTCTCGTCGCTGCAATCTGAGACAAAATCGAAGAAACCGATCAATCAAAAGCAAGCAATTCCATTATAAGTCTGGAACTGGAATCCAATAGATTTCAACCATAAAATAACGATACGATAAAATAATTAAAGAAGAAGACAAATAAGATGAGGAAAATACGGTTCCGATCTTCAAGAAGCCATCAACGGTGAGGTTGATGAAAGGAATGCCGGTGTCGATCGACACATCCACCTTTGGACTCGAAAGCGTTCCCGAGAACCTGCTGCTTGGCATCTTTCTTCTCTTCTCTTCTCTTCTTCTTTTTCTTCTTCTCTTTGTAATTTGTAGAACTCTTTTGAGTCTTGACAAAAAAAATTGCTGATATCGTTTCTTTCTTTTTCGTTTTTGTCTTCTTTCTTACTGATTACTGATGTGATTTCAGTGCACATTTGTGATCGTTGGTTACTAAAATAAAAATAAAAATAAAAATAATGCCGGGGAAAACGCCAATGTCTTAGGGACGGCCGAATTGGATGACGCGTGGCTTGTGCTAGTGTGATTTCTCTTTTCTTTTCTCTTTGCGTCGGCCGAAACTTTTGGTGACCAACTGGGCCTGATGGACTGGGTTAGCCCATTATGCACGGGTTGGACTGCAGACGGCTTAAGGAAAAACGGCACCGTACGAGAGTTCTCCCCCTAGGGTTTAGAGTCTATATAAAATCGAATTCTGGAACACAGACTACTATTTGGCTGATAGTTGGCAGTGATAAGAAGTGATCCACTATGGACAAGAGTATGCTAGGAGATCTGCAATCGCTCTCTGAGGAAGATAACATCAAAATGTCTGCGATGATCGAGCAGCTCCAAATCCGCGATAGGTTGGATTTGTTGGTTATTGTTTTATGTTTCTGTGATTTTCCGATTTAGTCTGTTTTCAAGTTCTAAATTCCAAGAATTTTCTGAGTAGTAATCTGCCAAAGATTTTAGCTTTTTATTTATTTTGTTAATTTACAGAAATGCACGTTCATCCTTGTTCAAATATAATGCTATTAATTGACTAGGAAAGAAGTGGTTTCTCGGTTTTCTGATTCATACAGAGCAAAGTCCAAGTAGATTCGAGTCTGAAATGATGATTTAGAGCAGTTTCAGGAAACAATTTTACAATTAGTCTATCATTTATTTTATACAAGTGGTTTGGGATGGTGAGATTTTTTTTTTTTTTTTTGGTACCAGATATGCAAGTTTGATTTTTTTAAATTTTTTTTTCAATGCTTGTGGTTGTGGATTTATTATGAAGTGAAATGCAAGGACGACAATGTGTTTTGACTTATAGTTTGTAGTTTCACCTTTCATTTACTATGAAGTGTCGCATGATTTGTCTGGTGGGCGACTCTCTGTAGGTGAAGCCAGAGTGATGTTCTCCTTAAAACCAGAGCAATATTCATGTTGCTTCTGGACGTTTTGGGAACTACATTCATAATGCTCAGTTATACTCTATCAATAAGTTGGATTTTGGAGATATATATATATATATATTATCAAAATCATATAAAAAATTCTGTTCGGCAATGTTGCATTTTTGCAATGAACTCATATGGACAACTATAGCGGTGATTTCTAAGACATAAAAAAAGAAAATAAATCATGATAAGAAAGATTACAACCCTAGATATATGTCTCAGAAATGTCCAATGTAGTTGTCCATCCGAGATCGATGTGGGAGTGTGCTCTTGCCGTCGTGAGATTCTTTTTTTTTTTTTTTTTTTTTTTTTTTGGGCACGAAGTGACCGACATGAGATTCTGTATCCTTAGAGGGTGCGCACACCCAACAACTTCAGAGGACTTTGTAATTTTTTTTTAACCTTCAAAATGAGGTCACGGTGGCTTCTCATCTGATCTCTTCAAGTACTGGTTGAGTGGTTTCATATTTGACTTGGACTTTTATATCATGTGAAGCCAGGAAAAACATTGTCCTTAAGAGTTAAATCAACGAATAATTTTTGTTTTTAGGATTTGTCAATCAATTGATTTCCTCCACAAAAGGAATCAGCTAAGCACCAAACTCGCCCCAAACCGCAAGTCCTGGTATAAATCTTCTGATTATGTTGTTTTCTTTTTTTTTTTAATGCAGTTTGAGGATGTACAACTCACTTGTGGAGAGGTGTTTTAATGACTGTGTTGACACATTCAAGCACAAGTCCCTGCAGAAGCAAGAGGAGAGCTGTGTGCGGCGATGTGCTGAGAAGTTCCTAAAGCATTCGATGCGAGTTGGCATGAGGTTCGCAGAGCTCAACCAAGGTGCAGCAACACAGGATTAAGAACAAGTTACCATATCTCAATAAGGATTGAGGAGCCAATTTATCGTCTCATTTCTCAGTCGGTGTATTAGACAATGTCTCAACATAACAAATTTCTCGCTTAAGCCCATTTTGCCAGGGGCGAAATAGCATGTTCTAGTTTGTAGATACAATGCCATTACTCCCTATAAAGTTTGTGTCCTTCAAGTAAGGTCTTTGCTGGCCTTTTTGTTATGAAAAAAAAAAAAATGATCAAATGATTGTTTTGTTTCACGTTTTGCAACCTGTGTCTATTAACGTTTGTTCGCCTCGGATACTAAATCCTCGTCATATTTTCCCTCCACAATTAATAAATTAAAAAAATGAGAATTCTATTTCAAATCAAAATTAGATGGCAATGAAATCCGTTTTATCAATAAGCTATTTAGGGTTTTCTTTTTGAAGGACAAAGTCAATGCGGTTACATTCCTAACTCAGATTTCTCTTTCTATTATTATTGCCGATGATATGGCAATTAAAATTCAGCCAATAGCAAGAAAATAAATTAATTGATATCCTCTTCGAATTGGTATCAGATCGGATCAGGGGCGGAGGGAGATGGGGCCATCCCCCTGGGTTCTTGAGAAATTTTTTTTAAGCCCCTAGAGTTTTGTTTCTTCCTTTTAAATGCATATAATTCTTTAATTCTTTTCATCTTTGCCCCCCTCTTAATTTACAACAATTCAAATACGTCTCTAGTAGATCTAATTTCATGTAGATTCATAGCAAAAGTTCTCTCAAAGAAGACAAATTTTTTTTTTTTTTTTTAATAAATGACACATTAAAACTATTCTCAAATGTATTTCTATTTAAGAATCTTTTTCATACAACCATCTCAATTCTTATTTCATGAATATTTTTTCTTTAATTTGCCCTTATTGAACTAATACTTATTTCAAATGTGTCTCTACTTAAATATTCTTTTATTTTATTTTATTTTATTTTATTTTTTGTGGCGAATGTCATGTATTCTTTTATTTATTTATTTTTTGTGCCAAATGTCATCTACTTTCTCGTACGTGCTTTCTAAATATTTTTCTATCTAATTTGCCCACTAAAATTTTTATAACTTGAGTTTGTTCTTATGTTTATATGCATATTTTATTGAATCAAAAACACATTTTGATTGAAAACATTTCAGTCCATTTCACTAGAAACTTTTTTTGAAAACATTTCGGTTGATTGAAAACTTTTTTATAACTTAAGTTTGTTCCTCAATAACTAAATATGTATGTGCATAACACACACTTCTAAGTACGGGGACGAGTGTCGGATGTTCGTCAGTTGCAACCACGGATTTCATAGAGCCTGCATTGATAAAGTGGCTCGATCGTGATCGTCACTGCCACCGGCTTTGTCGCGGTTCTGTTAGAGGTTTGTGTTCTGTCGATGAGGTTTAGAATTAATTTTATTATTAATCTTTTGTTGTGTGGGAAAATTCACATCGACACATCGGACAACGATCAGGCCACACGTGGCCCCATGCCTGTCACGTCAGTTAGCCCTCGACGCTCGAGCCTCATTAGTCTCTCCCGTATGATATGAGAGCCGAGTGCACAAGGGGACTGATACCGTCGACCCTATACACAGTTGGGCCCTGCAAGACCAACTCGTGTAAAATAACGTGATGGAGTATGCCGTGAGAGATGCTACCCGCGGCGGCTTTTAGCATGGGCACAGAAGACAGAACGCAAACAACTGGGTCCACATCCCAAGAAAGACTCCTGAGAAGATTAGCTGAATATCCCAAGGTTACGTCTGGGTTTGGAGAAGGTCAGTTGCACAGGAAATGATTACAAGCCCCTAAAACCGCCTAGGACGGATCACTAGCTATTACAGAGGATCTACAGAGCCGTAATGGGGGGACAAATTGGATGAGTGAACAGTCCAAAAGGTAATGACAGGCTACGGTCTAAGCAAATGAGGCCATATGCCACTCGAGTGTATGAGCCCCATGGAAGACACTGTCAAATGGTCCAAACTGCCTATCATTGGGCAAGGTTCATGTAATATCCAGTATAAAAAGGAGCAAAGCCCTCGTGAGAAGGGGCTCTCGGATCTGGTATGTGTAATTTGTAATAACCAAAACAAGAGAAATACAATACAGTGGATGTAGCTCTTTTCGAGAAGTGTGAACCACTATAAAACCTCTTCGTTTTTATTTTCATAAGCGATATAACGATTTCTTTTGATAATACACTCATACAAACTCTAGCAAATCCAGTAAAATTACAAGTTTCAAATCGGTAACCCAACGAGCTACCGCAAGGTAATCCGGTAAGGTCTTGTTGACGAAAATCGATCATCAACATCTTTGATTTTTGTTTTTTTTGTTTTTTTCCGTGTACATATAAGAAAAAGAGATATCTGACAAATATGTCATATACGGTATTCAATTCGTTTTGAATGCTTAACAAGTCTTGAGAGAAATTGGCTATCTGAAATCGATGTGCAACTTTCTTTTTCCCGGTTCTAAGCAATGGTATCGTGCAAAATTGTGATTAAATTGTGCTTCTATTCAGTAAAATTTGCCCAATGTATGATGCACTCTGGGTTTCATTGAAAGCTTTGGTTATGTCCAGACTTTATCCTATGACTTAATTTATTTTTATTCTTTTACTAATAAACTTTTTAAGAAGGGACAGTTTAATTCTTGATTTTTTTTTTCAATTATATGATTGTAAATTTTTACAATTCAAATGGAGGTTATTTGACATAAAAATATTAAAAATCTTATAAAAATTACCTTTGGAGTATCAATTTTAGTAATAAAAAACTGTTTATTATATTGGTAATGACAAAAAAACTAGAAAGAGAGAGAATTTTGGTCGGAGCGCTAGCTCATACTGATGTACCTTTCTAAATGTTTGTTGAGCACGAAAGACAATATTATCAATGTAGATTGGTGGTTCTATTATCCTTCCACGTTATGGAATATATTTTCCTGAAAGAACACTTTTGTATGTCTCATTTCGGAGACACTCTCACTTTGTCTCTTAAACTTTAAAAATCTTCATTTTATTATTTTAAACTTTTATAAACTTTCACTTTATTCTTTCCCTCTTAATTTTCATTTAAAAGAGATGGTAAACGTCTCACATGCACTCACTAGCATGGTGTTTGAGAGTAAAATTATAATTAAATTTTTAGTGATTTACTCTATGCCTCCTGAACTTTAGAGTCACCCCAACTTTGCCCCGTGAATTTTTTCATTGTTCCCTCCATATTATTTTAAACTTTTCCATCTCAAAAGTAAGAGTGACCCCAAAGTTTAAGGAGTAAAGTGAGAGTGACCCCAAAGTTTAGAAGAATATGTGATAATAATCTTTTTTTTTTTAATGGGATGAGAAGAAAGCATCACGTGGTATACTAACATTTGGATATTATGCAAAATATTTTACTTCAAGTTTTTTTTTTTTTTAGGATAAATATCCTAGTTTATTTGAGCCTTTTAAAATTTGACTTCATAAGGTATTTGCCATATTATCAGGAAAGAGAATCATAATTTACCTACCAAATGTCATCTTAATCCCCATTCCCCAATTTGCTAATTATATTAACGAATCTTTATTAAAAGAAAGAAAGATGTTTCTTTCTTTTCCTTAAAAAAAAAAAAAAAAAAAGAAATATTGGTCAATCCTCATAAGTATCCCATTACTGCGATTTAACCTTGCACTCAAAATTCTCGTAAACTCTGATTCTTTATCTCTTAACACGGAAACTAAATCAAAACCTTTATTAACATTAGGGTTTTTCTTATTTCCGGGTTCAACAAAAACTGAAACACACACAAATCTTTCTCTCTCTCTAATATTGATCACGAGCAGACAGCATGGACTTTCCGTCACCTCCGCCAGTTCCTTTCCCGTCACCCCCACCCCCACCAATTCAACCTGCGACCTTCATAATTGATGTGTCACTGTATAAACTGATATTGTTCTTTCTCTTGTTCCTTTTTGTATCAATATTTGCCGCGGTGGCTTGTGATCACCGAAACCGACAACAGCAGCTCCTACAGGCTCGGCGCCGCCGCCCACAACCGACAGGAGCTCCTAGTGCTGCCGCTACGATCATCTGCACGTTTAAACTCGAGCAGAACCCAATGAACACCGGGGGCGGCGACGGCGGAAGCGACTGTGCTATTTGCTTGGAGAATTTCAAGTACGGAGACGAGTGTCGGATATTCGTGGCTTGCAACCATGGATTTCATAGGGCCTGCATTGATAAGTGGCTCGATCGTGATCATCACTGTCCGCTTTGTCGCGCTTCTGTTAGAGGTGGCCGTACCATAAATCTCGATCAGGTTTAGAAATCAACTCTTCGTTTTAGTATGTATATTACAGGAAAAATTTTTTTTGACAAAAATATTAATTGCTTCAATTTTTCTGGTTGAAGTTTTGAGTGTTTGGCAATATTAGAAGTAGACTATTGATCATGTAGTTCATGCTCTTCAGAATTGTGACATATTTATGTTTATAATTATAGTGATGATCATCATTCTACGAATACGATTTTTTTAAACACTTCATATAAATTGCGTATTATTTACTAAAATATAAATGATATGAATCGCCTTATATATATGTGCCGGTTCTTTGAAATAGTTCGCTATATAAGTCGCCACTTTCACGCCGGAACCCTAGGCCCAAAATATGTTTCAAAATAGAAACTAGCCCAAAATCCTTCGCAAATAATTCTCCCTCTCTCTTGCTTTATTATTATTACTTTTATCGTTTGGCTGAAGTCTATATTTTTTTTTATGACCCTTCAAAAAATAATTCTTATGATAATTTGGTAAATTGAATAAAATTGATATAAATGATGCCTTAATTTATCTCTTGGCCGAGTAAACAGGATTAAACAAGGATCATAAGAAAAATTTATTAGCAAATTTATTCATTTTAAGCCAATAACATTCATACGTAATACATCCTTATCTCAGACGCCAAACTAGATATATCTATCTGTAGAGAAAGCTACAATCGAGATAACCGGAAAGCCTCTCTAGAATATCTCTCAATGGAACGAATAGATTTTTTATTTTCATCTATTTTGTTTTCGTATTGAAGAGACCTATATCCACATAGGTCACATTTTCTATTTAGGTTTCTCGTTTTTTGTGTGTTGTCTGTGGTTTATTGTCATATGTGTAGCTTCTAAGTACCAAATCCATAAAATTTATTAAAGCGTGCAAAGATCAAAATTGACAACATCTTTTTGATTGTATCAATTAGAAGAACCTACATTGACATTTCAAAATGAGCCAAAGATTTAATTTTTTTATGCACATCAGTCGGAAGTGGTGTATGTTGGAAAAATCCTCGACGTTCTTCTATCGAATGAATCGTTTAAGTGATTTGTTTGTTGCAGTAAATTGTTTATTATATCAATTTTCGTATATCTAACATCTACAATTATAATGTTCATTACAATTGAATGAAAGACCGTCATTATCCGGAAAAGGAAAATTTATTGAGACTAAGATTGCTAATCAACCGAAATGAAATAAAAAATTATTTTCGATAAAATTGAAAAGCTAAATTCCATTCTCTCTAAACATTTAGACTAGACTGTGTTGTGTGTGTGTACATATAGGGCCGGTAATATGGGTCACGACACGACAACACGACTCGAAAACGACACGAATTTCGCAGGTTAGGGTTGAGAAAAAAGAGGTTCGGGTCAGAATTGGGTCGACCTGAAATTGACACGAAAAACACGGGTCAATTTCGGATTGGCCCCACCTAACCCGAACACGACACGAAACTCGTAAAAAACTAAAAAATACATATATTTTTCATTACATATTTTTGATTTTATTATGAACTTGTGATATCATAATAGTTATACTCAAAATTTATACTGTTATTTGCTTAATTTCAATGGATGTTATTGTATTTCAGTGTGTTATGAATTTTAAGTTATTTCTAATAATTAAAAAACTAAATAAAAGTATACAATTTTCGTGTCAATTTCGGGTTCACGGGTCAATTTCGTGTCACGGGTCATTTTCGTGTCGTGTCGTGTCAACCTGTAGAGTGGTCGTGTCGTGTTCGTGTTGCGGTTTTAAAAAATTTCGTGTCACGGGTCATGTTCGGGTTGACTGCAAATTAAAAAAAATGATCAAAACATGACACGAACACGACACGTGACACGAATTGCCACCCCTATACATGTATCAATATTCAAGGATAGTTAAGAAAAACAAATAAATTTTACCTAAAAAAAAATTAATATTTTTCATTTGGTTCACTAATAGAACGAAGGGCTTGACAAGCTTGGGTGACAAAAAGACTCCTTTCACTTTGCACATTTGAATAGCGTGATTTTGACCTTTTTTCAGTTTAAATCGAAATTTTTGAACCTATGTAGGTTTTACTTTGATTCAAACTTGCGTTTAGAAGTGTAAAGTCTTATTAAGAAATAAAACATCACATCAAGAAATAAAGTTTGAAATAGTGTTTAATTAGTACGAGAATTGTGAATAAACCAAAACTACTCATGATTTTACTATAGCAAACAGATTCAAACCTATAAGAACTTAATTGAAGAGATTAAGTTCTTTAAAAGGGTACCCCTTGAAAGTATATGAGTCAGAATTTTTACTCTTTTATTCTTGATTCATAATTTTTTTGGTCAAATAATTATACTAACAAAATGATATTTATCAAGAAAATGAATAAAAATCTATATTCATATACTCTCTCTCTCTATAAAATGGATACTAAACCCATCTAAGAAGGGTTCTTTAGCTAAAGTTCAGAAAAATGAACCAAACAATAGCTCAAACTTGTTTTTGGGCTTAAAACTTGATAACAGTCTCAAAAGAGGCTGGATCAAATTTGCAAGGAATTTAGAGCTCAAGCTCAATAGAGTGGTCAACAACTAGAATCAAGACGGCATCAACGACGACACCTTTCGAACGAAGAGTCTCGTGTGGGGGGCTGTGGACCTCGGCTTTTTGAGAGGAGGGACGATGCGCAATAAGGGTTGAGAATAGGGATTACTTTAGCTAATTTGAAGTTTAGATTTTAGTGCAATGCACGTGATGTCTCCGAGATTAAAAATTAAACGCTCGTTTCCCATTTTGCTAATTATCAAAATTAAAAGATCAGCTACCACCTTTGCACTAATCTTTAAAAAAACAAAACAAAATAAATTTAATCCCACAAATAGTTCTTAAAATTTATCCTCAATTCCAGTTTGGTCCTTAATTTTTAAAACATCTCATAATTAGTCTTTTTTAAAGTTTTATTTTGTTTCGATTTTAATCCTTCCATTATTTAAGTGTTAAATATTTAACGAAATTTGTGTAAAAAATTAAAATTATCTAAAATTTAAAAACTGCTTAAGGAAATTAACTTTAATTTTTTTTGTTGTATTATTTTAGTCTCGAAACTTTAATTGTTTCTAATTTCGATCCCTAATTTCTACATATTTTGTTAAACATTTAACACTTAGATAACAAAATGATTAAAACTGAAATAAAATAAAATCTCAATGACCAACTATAAAAAATTTTAAAACTCAATGATCAAAATAGAATTGAAGGTAAATAAATAAAAACAAAAACAAATAAAGAAAGATCGCCAATCAAATTTGATAAAACTAAATTAACTAATAAAGTTAGGCATCGTTCATTTCACCGATTTGAGTTTTTAATTTTAAATTTTTACAATAAAAGCTTTCAGAAAGCTTCCACACATGCAAAACCACCGAGCCGCCTAGTATCCACATACATAAGTTGCAACTGAAAAGGCTTAATTTCAATTAAAAAAAATCTGAAAAAGCTTAATACAAAATAAGTTAATAGGGAGAACTATTTCATATAAGCTATACCTTGAATAACACTAGCTAAAACCTACATATTACATATTAAATATCATTAATAAAACAGGTTTAAGCAAAATGTATGGACATAATATAGCAAGCAACTCCAATAAATATCTCAGCCACGTTCCACAGTTTCACAGAACTTCCGGCCACCGACCTTTGCAACTTTACACCTTCCAAAGGATACGTGCAAGCCTGGTAACCTGCCACGTGTATAACTTGCATTATAAATGAAAAGCTCATTTTTCATGATATTTCAATATATAGAATAGATTGTTTTCCTTAAAAAGAAAACAATTAAGGTTACGTTACGTGGTATATTTTGAGAAGAGTTCAAATTGGACTTACTGGGGTCGGTATCAGTGATCACTCCAGTGTGGCCAAAATCACAGTTGTAGTCCTGAGGCCCAAACGCCTGATAGTAAGCGTTCATCGCGTACGACGCGTGCGATCGAACGGTGTTGGGATCAAAGCAGGGCCCACCGGATTGTATCGGCTTGCAGTCCACTCCCGCGCTGCACACGTAGTCTATGTTCTTCTGTAACGCCTCGTCACTGGCGTCCGATCTCGGCACGCACCACTTTCTCCTCGTATCAACGGCTTTTGGTGCTTGCGCCACATCAGCCGTGGGACCCAGCGCCTGAGAGAAATAAACACCATTGAAAAAAGATCAACGACAATGTCATTGCAGATGTGAATTCAGCGATGGTTTTTGATGGGGCGCACAAAAATACAATAGTCCGCGCACAGATCACTTGAATTCAGCCTCGGGAATCTCATCATGCACATCCATTCAGACACGGGAAAAGCAAAGGAACCTTTGCGGGAAAGGTTTTCAAATGGTAGAAAACTTTCTGTGACCATAACAAAACCTATAAAGCATAGAATCTAAAAATAAAAATAAAAAAAGCTACAGTTTAAAAATAATTTATGAGATGTTTAGTTGAATTCAGAATTATAATTTTAATTTTTAAAATTTAAATTTTTTATAAAAAATAATAAAAAAAACCATCATTTAAAATCAAGACGAATTAGTAAACCGATGATTAGCTGCCTTATGTCTTCCACTACAGACTATGCACCTATACTACCAAAAAAAGCTGGCAAGTGTCAGAGATGTCAGCTGTGCATCAAGAACGGGTGATTGCCTACGCTAATGTCCACAAATATCCAATGCCGTCTCAAAAACGTGTCGAAATACTATTCGCTGGAAACCGGCAATATTAAACAGCTAAAAAAACAAAAATGTAAAAATACCTGATCATTGCGTAGAACGCTCACATCGTAAACCGGTGTCAGATCCGGTTTGAACAACCCGTAATTCCGCTCCGAAGTGCTGGGTTTCAGGTTCTCGTTGAAGAGGGAGAAAATGTAAGTTTCAAACGTCCTATTCGGCATCAACGGCGTTCCTTTGCCGGAGCTCACGTGCTTTACGAGGTTTCCGTTGTACGACAGCGCGTTTTCCAAGTTCACGTCCGGCTGGTTCGGGTCTCCCGCCGATGGCCAGCCGGTCTCCGCTACGACGATGTCCACATCGTCGTATCCCACCTTCTTCATCGCCGAGAAAACAGCGTCCATCTGGGCGTCGAACATGTTCGTGTAGTTCAACCCCGTAACGTTGTCGAAAACGCCGCCGTTTGGCTTGAACAGCGCGTAGTTCAGCGTCTTCGCCGAGAACCCGAAAAACGGGTACGGGTTGATCATGAAGGGGGATTTCGTCTGCCTGTGAAACTCGAGTATCGGGGCGAACACGACCCGGTCGTACCCGCTTCGGAACCGACCCGAACTCGGTGGCTCCGAGTTGGGGGCGAGGATCCCGAGGGAGTGAGGAGTCGAAACCTGAACGTTTGTGACGTTGGCGAGCTTCAGAGCCGAGTGGAGAGCTTTCATCGCCGGCAGGAGATGCGCGATGAGGCTCTTGTCAGAGGTGGCGACGATTTCGTTGCCGACGGCGATGCTGTTGATGATGGTTTTGGGGTGGAAGGGGAGGATGTTGTTGGCGACCCATGACTGGGCGGCGGGGAGCTTGGCGAGGGAGGGGACGTCGCCGTTTCCGACGGTGACGGTGACGGCGATGCCGGTGCCGGCAAAGGCGCGGAGGATGTCGGGATTGGCATCGAAGATCTTGACGCGGTCGATGGTGGTACGGGTCTTGAGGAAGGTGGCGACCTGGGAAGGCGGCGGGAGGTTGTCGGCGACGGTGCCGTAGTTGACGCCGACGGAATAAGCGGTGGCTTTAAAGGAAAAGAAGAAGAGGAAGAAAATATAGAGGTGGGTTTTGAAGGGGTTTTGTTCCATGGTTGGTTTCATCAGTGGGAAAGGAGAAGTGTGGAGTAAAGTTAACAATGGGCAGTGTCAATGGTAAATTGGCCACTGCTTCGTACTGAGGTGTGTGCTCAATTAGCTGTTATCAAAAGTGTGAGTGGGCACGTGTTTTGGGCGTTAATCTGTTTTTTTTTTTGTTGTTGTTATTTTGTTTTTATTCATCGGAGGATGAAGAAAGAGGTCTCATCTCATGGTGGGACCAGGTGGGTCAGTCAATGGTAACGTCTTCAGACACTTGGGACTTGGGAGTAGTTTAACAAGTGCCATCGTGATTGAAACAGTGATAGACGCGTAAAGGAACGAACAAAATCAAAAAACAGTGATAGATGTTGGGCAGGCTAGTGACTAGTGAGCAACTTTTCGCACCTCTTTTGGCCTACAAATTTGCAGTTGGCAACCTTAGTGAATTTTTTTTAGTTTCGAGTGCCATTAATAATGATTTTTTAGAAAAAATTAGTCAACTCACTATTTTAATGTATTATTTTAAAATTTTTATTTTTTATATTATTGATTAATACTCATTTAATTAATATAGTTTTTTTTTTTACTAAAATGTATTAATTAAAAGATAAAAAATTAAAATCTATACATTTTAAGGTGTATTTGTCTCATTTTCTTTATTTTTATAGTAAATAATATATTTTTAAAACTGAATTAAGTAAATAGTTGATTTTAAAACTATTTAAAGTAAATAGTAATTTATCATGTAAAAATTTTAATTATGATTGGTAAAAATAATTTATATAGTAAAACATCTTTATTTATGTTAAAAAAATCTTTTACCAGCCGTAAAAAAAAAATTTATATGAGAAAAAAATCTTTTTACTTATCATAAATGAACTATTTATGCATTAAATCTATTTACTTCAAGTAGTTTTAAAATATGTTATTTAATTAATATAGTTATATAAATTTACTATTTATTATATTCTCTCTTTTTATAAACTATAATACACTATTTTTTTAGACTGAGGAGATTTAAATTCCACATCTTATAATAGAGTCGGACGTAAAATTACTATTATGTTATATGTGCAACACACGCTATGCCAAATTAAGATTACAATAGTTTACCTAAATAAAAAAGTAGATTTTTTTAATTAGAAAAAATTATACTGCTGTATATAGTATGTCTACTGTTTGATAATATCTGTAAAATTACTTTTACATTTTATATTGAAATTATATGTGCGCATTTGGTTTGTAAGACCAATATGAATCGGTTTCACCATCCAAATCTTTGTTTGGAACAAAAAATCAGATTATGCTACAATTAAAAAATTCACGCCTCGTTTTGGTACATATATTCAAATCATAATTTCGATTCTGTTACATTGTTTTTTTATCTCACAAAGAATTAAATTCAAAAAATTTCTCCTCTCATAAAGTTCCCGCTAATAAATAAAAATCATTGACTTAAACGTATAAATCAAATAGACCCTCAAATTCTTCAAATTAAGCAAAAATGTTCAGATCTCATAACTCATAAGGACTTATTATAAGGATTATAAATTTACAACTTGAGGCTAGTTTAAGTGATTTGGTATATGAGTGTGTACGTGTGTTTGAGATCTAATGGTTTCATTTTTTTCTTAATAAAATAAGAACCATACGCACATACCTATCAAACTAAAAATAATTTATATATTGTTGTTTATGAATTTTTTTAAAATCTTTGCTATATTTATATTATATGTCTAACTCTCCTAATAAAATATAGAAAAAGAGGTTTTAAAGTACATGTTTGTTTCTTGAGTTATATTTTTGAATGGCACAAGTTTTGTTAAATTATGGAAATGATTTTTTTAGAAATGATTAATCAGTCATAGATTGATTTATGGTCTATTATATATTAATTTGATAGTCCATCATTAACATGTGACGACCCTAAGTAATTGTCTCTTAAACTCATTAACATGTAATCACTTAAAATACTTGAATTAATTAAATTGAATTTGTGAATATTTTTTATATTTATATATCATATAATAACGGAAAATAAATTTAACTTTAATATTAAATTAATAAATATTAATTTTTAAGTTATATAAGAAGTCTCGGTCTTATTAAAACCATACTGCATAAATACAATTAAAAAGTCTTATCACAACAAAACATATTGCAAAATTAAAATGTGAGCGGTATCAATTTCTCATTCTCCACATTGCTCGCCTGCCGTTGCGCACAACCCATCATTCACCTTTTATTGGTTGTTTTCTTACAGTATAAATACATCATAGGGGTGAGTTTATACTCAGTAAGTAGGAACTAAGTCTCGCTAATTAAAACAGAGTACTTAAAGTATATCAGTAATGCATGTATCAATTATGCTCTTTTATGAACTTGTTTTATTACTCCTCTGGGCCCGAGTGTACGTACCGAGATGTACGCACAATCAATGGGTAGAAAGGGTTTACAAGGTTCCCAACCACATCGTGACCTAAATTTACCTCCTCAAGTACTGAATGATTGCCTCCTCATGCCTTAAATCCTCCCCGTAAGTCGAGGGATTGGTATAACACTCTTAAATATTCTTATTATAGATTTTAATAGTGAGCATGCGATATATCATGACATAACATATTATACTTTAAACATAAACATGTACATATTATGTTTTTAAACTTATTCATATTGTAGGTGAAATTCTCACTTACATGCTATATCAGCCAAGGTCGGGACTATATTACTCACTGAGGTTAAACTCTACTGTTGTGTTCTATAAAGAAAACCCACTGAGGGTATGAGTTTGACTTATTATAAGCTAATCTATTTAACTTAGTCTATTTAGGAATTTATTCATATGCTTAGAAAATATTTTCTTTTTAAAAAAGAATCATTTGACTTCTTACATATTACAGTGATTATTTTAATAAATTTTTATCATATAATTTTCCTTAACGGCCTTTGCTAATCGGTCCTAGGTTGATAGCTTAATCTTTTAATTAGTTATCTAAACCATGGTTTATGTCTAAGTTACCAATTCATATTATTTCTTAGATTATGCCTAAAATTATATTAAGGCCCATTAGTCTACAACATGTCTACAACGCTCCTTTATACTAGCGGTCAAACTTAGGCTCGAAAAGTTACAGGTATAGTACGGGTGTTGGGCTCGTACCTAGTGTTTTTATAGAAATTCTCAACCCATTTTATTTTGAAAATCATTAGTAAATCATATTTTATCGATAGTAATATTATCGGTTACTAGAAATTAGTGCTGGCAAGCACTTAGTGATTATTTTTAGAAGATAACCATAAGTTTGTAAACCTTTTAAAATTTTCTATTTGGCCTCGTTTATTAAATTTTGTTTTAAACTTTCAATTCTTGAAAAACTCAGATTCAAACGTTTCGAAAAATGTTCTTCACTAGAAATCTAAACCGTTTCAATTCTTACCGGTTAACTTTTCTGTTTTTCCTTAATCTGTAATTAACTACGTCTTAGAGTTTGATTCTTAAAATCTAAGCTTTGTGAAATTTCTTCGTCTCGTCGCGATCTAAAGGTTTAGTGTGTCGTGATCTAAAAGTTTAGTGCTTTGCTGAAAACGAGGTTCGGCCTCAAAACGGCCCAAAATCTTAAAAATAGTAGCTGTAGGAATATTATTTTGCGCAGTTTTTGAAAACAGCCCGAAAACGCATTCTAAAGTCAGAATTGTGGTTTTTTTTTTTTTTTTTGCAGTTATAGAGATTTATCCATAACGTTGAAACCTTTAAGGCACGAAAGTCATAAATCCTGAAATTGCCCTCTAAAGAGTCCAAAAATAGTAAAACAGAAACGAACTCAAATTGGTAGTTTTGAACAGTTTTATGAAATTCTGGGCAGTTGTGGAAAAACGCCTAAAAACACATTTTAGAGATAGAATTGAGAATTTTCTCTGTATAAAAAATATTGAACACATCGAGATCTACAACTTTTGTGAAATAGCTTTTTTCTTAGTTTAGTCTCTAACAGCTCCGAATTTTAAATCAAAATGGACTGAAATTTTTAAACCAAAACAGAAACTTGTCAACTTATTATTATTATTTTTGCATATTTAACCTCTTAAAATTAACATGCAAAGCTCATACCTTATTCTAAACACACAAAACAACAACCATAGACCATAAAATGCAAATTAAAAAAAAAGATTTAAATTAAAACTCCTTGCATGTGAAGATCTAACCTGTTAACACACAAATAAACAATAGAAACACAAACTTTGTAACTAAACCAAACTTTGTTCTTAAAGTTGAAATGATTTAAATAAAAGAATCATAAGAGAAAGTTTTAAAGAATCTTCCCACAAACCTTAGGAGAGGAATGGTTTTGACCATCAAAGTGAGAAATTCATACAAAGATTTAAATCTTTAAGGAAAAGTTGAAACTTTGAACAAATAAAATCATAAGAGAAAGTTTTGATCTTTACCCTTGAAAGTGTTAGGAATTCCTACACAAATTCCTTCTCTTTCTTCTAGATTGTAGTTTGAAGTCTTTCTTGTGTGAAGGGGAAATTTTTTGAGAGAGAGAACTTGAGGGGTTCAGCCAAATAAGGGGAAAAGAGAGAGAGAGTGAAAAAAAAAAAAGGTAAAAGTGAACTTAATTTCAACCGGTGGTATATATAGACAAATGGCTAAGTTAACTTATCACTAATCAAGTTCTTAATCAAGCTCTATGGACTAGAATTTGATTAAAAAAAACAACAGTATGGCTGGTCATACTTAGTGAGAAGAGAGAGAAAATTTACACTTAATGATGATTTAAACTCTTATCATATCAAGGTTCAATCATTGTCTCCATTTTGTCCCGCAAAGATTCTTTCTTAAACTGATTAAATTTGTACTGACAATAATTTCTAGATCAATTAACATGACAAATAATTTCCAGTGATTTTTAGTCCACTGTTTAAATCATAGTCCAACACTATATTCAGAAGGAATTAATACCGGTTTAGATTTAAAATCGTGTAGATTATTCGGGTTGTTTCCAGACTTTAAAATTTGTCTTAAAATAACTTAAAATCTGAGTTTAACATACGTGTCTTAAAACCCTCAGTAAAACATAATAACCGACAATGTCAATTTCTGAGCCCGGCTTTATGGCTTTACTAAAAACGCAACTCGCGTAACACCGATTTTACTAATTGGCAATTAAGGATTGCTTTAAATGTTATAGTGCTTCCCGTAGCACTGCTAACACTGTACAATACTCATAAATTCTTACGAACAAAATTATGAGTCATAGTCAAATCGAAAATTTTTCCCGTCTTAAATTGTGATGAAGATTATCGACTGAGTCATAACATAAAAATTTTTGAGATAAAATT